TCTATCAAGATACATTTTCAGAAATTACCTAAATCATTCCAGTGTCGAGTTAAAGTAACTGTAATAGTCTAGTCCAGAAAGTCTGAGAATACATTTTTAAATGTCACTTACGCAAACAAATGACATCTAAGAATAAAGAGGAATTCAGTTTTTATTGAATTCAGCTGAACAGGATTTAATTATCTTGTCTATTGTCAACAGGAATGTGCTTGGAGTTCCCAAAACCTGTGGTCGATCTCAGGGTTCAATCCAGTTTAGTGTTATGATGCTTGACCTATAAAATCATTTTCTGCTGGAAAACATTATATACAGGTTCATTCATTGACCTCAGTATTAGAGATGTCCCTACTCGTTATATATTTAATGACCACGCAGGACTGTGACATACACCCTGTGGGGTTCTATTTTCTCATAATTGGATCTGGATGTGATGAATAGCTTAGAAGGAATGCATTGGTGATTAAACGTAGAAGGTTTGTACTGTACTGATATAAATTGTTTCACATAACAAGCTGTGATTAATGTGAGGAGCTGTTTTAGGGAGTAGGGGGAGATAAGAACTTGTGTCTCAAAATTTTAGACTACACTGCCTCTTTGTGATCTGTGAACCGTCCAAGGACGTGTACTGCAAAAGTGCTGACTTTCTGGATAAGTTGCAAAACAACTAGACACCTGGCAACAGTGGAGCGCCAAGGGTCTGGGACCAGCCTGTGCGCCAACGGATAGGCTGAGTAAGTCTAAACCACGCTCAGTCTCTACTCTGATTGGCCAGCAGGGAGCGGGAACTATCTCTGTCAGAGTATTTTAAGAAGAACTCATAACAATGGCTTAGTTCTCTGAGTGCCCTGCGTGGTATTTCAGTGGACCCGTATATACGAACATCATATTTACCATTGAAGTGTTTGCATTAATTAAAATACTAGTCTATTTTAGAAGACGTGTATTGACCTCTTTTGTTCCTAATACCAGATTTGAATTGACGCATTTAACAACCCTTAGCTCACCCTTTCCCTCCCTGTGAATGCAAGGCATGTTGTGCTACACATTTATATCATTTTATCTGGGCGAAAGGGATCCAATGGGGCAAAACCAACACCCTATAGACTCCTTGGATCCTTTCAAATACGTATTTTACGTTGAGATTGTAATAGAAATCGTTTCAGAGTGCATTCACAGACTGACAGACAAGTGAGGGCAAGCAACAAGGGTTAAAAAGGAAAACAACAGCTGTTATATTTCTCCAGACTTCCAAGTTCCTTAACCCTGACTCAACTTTCTAGTTACAGAATTGTTCATAAGCATAATTATGGGAAACATCTTCCACCCCAGCCTCCAACCCCCAATCCAGTCCAGCCATCTACAAGGCAACTTGAGGATGTGTGGCAGAGGAGGCTGGTTGGAGGAGCTATAGGAAGACAGGCTCATTGTAATGGCTGGAATGGAATCAATGGAACGGAGTCAATATGATTGATGTGTTTGATTACGTTCCATTTATTCCATTCCAGGTGCCCCGTGTAGCTCAATTGGTAGAGCATGGCGCTTGCAACGCCAGGGTTGTGGGTTCGATTCCTACGGGGGGCCAGTATGAAAAATGTATGCACTCACTTACTGTAAGTCGCTCTGGATAAGAGCGTCTACTAAATGACTAAAATGTAATTACAATGAGCCTGTCATCCTATAGCTCCTCCCACCAGCCTCCTCTGGTGTGTGGCACTTAAATGTCACGAGAGCCCCTTGATGTCTGTCTGGGGTTTCTGTTAAGAGTGTGTGTACAGTACGTGGTGGTATTTGTGTTTTTATTATCTAAACTAGTGTTGCAATTCTGGCACCAAAACAACACCCCATTGTTCATCTGGCCATTGTTTGTTTACCAGCATGAGAGGTGGACAAAGAAGGGAACCGTGCCTGGTCTACACTTTGGGGACTGGCGTCATGTGGCATCCCAAAAACATGAGGGTGTGGGGTCCTTGTTTTGGGGAGTGTGCCTTGACTAGCCATTGTCACCTGAGACTGATGGTATTTTACTTATTCATCAACTAAGATCTGGACCCAAGATATAACTCAGCTAAACAGTCAGGGCTAGTTCATATTCCTTTTCACCCAAAAGGATAGTTGTTTTGGTAGCTTGCTGCATTGCCAAACTTCCCTGTACTTCTCTGAATCAAGGGATGAACATGACAAGAAGGAGGAGTGAGAAAAGAAGAGAGGGGAGGAGGGAACAAACATAATCACAGCTGGGAACGGCACTTTTTCCCCGTTGTGTGCCAACTTTCATAAAGAGCACGCTCCCCTATAATGAGAGAAAATGAGAGGCTGTTGATAATCGCTGTGATAGGCAGCCTCAATGGAAGGGCTGGGTCTCCAATGGCTGAGGAGCCTGCGATTGACTCACTATCAGCGTTGAGGTGCTGGGAAGGGCTGGCTGGCACTGGGACCCCATGGCTGATATAATGATATGGCTTCAGAGGTGTGGCGGCCTGGTTGACAACACTGGAGTGATACTGAGCTCCTACTGGGTGGCGGGCCAGATAAAAGGAGGGTGATGATGCTGTTGGAGTGTGTGTGTGTGTGTGTGTGTGTGTGTGTGTGTGTGTGTGTGTGTGTGTGTGTGTGTGTGTGTGTGTGTGTGTGTGTGTGTGTGTGTGTGTGTGTGTGTGTGTGTGTGTGTGTGTGTGTGTGAAGATCAGATATTGGTTGCTAAGCTGTGATTACATCACCTACTACCATTTTTTTAGATAGCTGTCATGCCAGAGTGACAGGCCAATGCTTTGCCCTATATGAGTATGTGAGTGTGCACCTTAAATAGACAAGTCTTGTACCAAGATGAAGAGCACATAGGTTTCCTGCTTGGCTTGAAACTGAACTGTATTTTCATAGGATTCTGTGAAAAAATACTTAATTTGCGTCCCAAATGACCTTGATGCTCATTTTACGATAAACACCATGTCCTAGTTTCCAGGATGTTCACAATCAAAGGGGAAGATGCGGTGCCGGAGTTGGCAGATTGTTAATTTGATTGCAAGATTTATACTGGAAATGTGTGTACATAATCTCCTTTTATCTCTACATTTGAAGTGAAGGATCCCACTGGGCACAGACGTCAGTTCATCTAGTTTTGATTTACATTTCGTTGAGTTGTCAACTAACGTGAATTCAATGTAAAATCAACAAAAAATATCACCGTCATTGGATTTAGGTTAAAAGTTGGGTGGGAAAAAAATGAAATGCCCTCATGTTGATGATTTTTTTCAAATCCAATCAATTTTCCACATTGATTCAATGTCATCACATTGTGTTTTTTGGTTGAAATGACGTGGAAACAATGTTCATTCAACCAGCTTGGGCCCAGTGGGATCTAACATGACTTGATATAAGCAAGCACATTTATCAGTGGACTGTTATATTATGTGAATCTTGGGATTCATCACATTGGAATTGTGGTGTCTAAGCAATTTATGACTTTGCTAACGTTTGCAAATGGTATCTTAGAGGATGTTGATTCAGTTTAGGGAAGCATCTGGAGAACAGTTCTATAGGGGCACCCTAAAACAGAGGAAGTCTGTTGTGTGGAGACATGGGATTGGTCTGTAGGGGAAACCACCCATATCATGTTAAAGATTATAAATACTTGGTTGGGACAAAGGAGGACAGAATAACATAATACAGATTGGGTCCGTTGTTCTCAAGATGCCTGCAGATGTCTGTAAATTTACGCTGAAATCTTTTGAAATAATAAACCTTTATAATCAAAGTACAGTGTAAGCGGACTCCTTGTTCTCACAGCATAATTAGCAACATATTTTTAGATACCACAGAATCATTACATATGTGTTTTATTTCACCAAGAGTTTGATATGATCACTATTGTGGCATTAGCCTGGGCTTGGAATCCTGGGTAAAGAGACGACCAGAGATGGTCAGTGGCTGCGTAGTTAGTGAGAGGAAGGATGACAGGAGACAACAATCTTAGAGTTTATTTTCTAGTGTATAGCAACAGTTGTCTCCTGATCACATATAGTTCTAGTAGGGTATATCCTGATCTAGTCGGCCAGTCCCAAGACTGTGAATAGGATGCTTTCATATATGATACATTATAAATACATTTGATGTACAGTTGTAGGATCTTAATTTGATCACCCTGTTGAAGGAGAACTTTTCTGAAATGTAGAACATGTCAAACTTGTAGTTTATTTGAGGTTTAAAAAGGCTTCTGAAGTTTGTAATTTCCACTTTGAAATTCAGACTTGATTTTCCCTTATGAAAAATGTATCAACCCCTACAAAAATGTCCATTAATTTTAATCAACATATTCATTCACATTTCCTGTTACTGCAGGATTATTTTCCTGCTGTAGAAAACTGGCTCAAATTAAGATACTACATCTGTATCTGGAATTTACCAAGCTATACAATCTCATCAAAATAATGAAACAATCCATAAACAATAAAGGGCATGATTATTCGAAACATGAAATTAGCAATTACTTGGCCTTGTTATCTAAATTTAGTTTGTTTTTAAAGAAATTAAAAACATATTTTGCTTTTTTTACTTCATCATGAGTAAAGAAAAAATTAACATTATGGGAACAGAAAAATGTAGTCAAGAAATTAATAGGCTTTACTAAATCAAGAATACATGTTTTATTTGCATAGCTTAATTTCAGATGAACTTGCTCTTTAACTAAAACTGATGGAGTCGAGTGATACAAATATCTTCTTCCATCTCGTCCCTGGGGGAGTGGGGAGTACGGAGTTCCTTTTATCCGGTGTTTTGGAGGGGATGCAGGGGCCTGCGGTGGCGCCTGATAGGGTAGGGTAGGCTACTTTCAAGCATTCATCTTCCCCGGTGGATGAGCTGAACCGAAAATGTTAAGGGGTGTGGATTTGAGCAGGGGAGGGGGGCGTGCAGAGATTTGAGAGATTGTGGGATCCCTGTCTGTCTCCCTGGTTCTCCCCTCTTTGCTTATAAAAGCATGAAACACATGTCTCCACCGCAGTTGTATTTCGCGCGCAATTGCATGCAGCAGGTGTCAAGGACTACATCAATCCATTCATTGAGGATAGTGGCAACGTTGAGGTAGAAATGGCTGAATCGATGCTCATCTTGAGAATGTGTTCCATAATGATGGTCCTTGGTTTTTCAGGTAAGAATACAAAATCCTAAACTCTTCTTCAAGGTTTGAATATTTCTATAAATAAACATATTAATTAGGCCTACTTTGATATTTGTTGGGAGTGGGATTATTTTTTGTTTTTAATTGTATTTATTCGATTATTTATTTGTTTATTTGTTAATTATTTGTCAATATGCATTTGCCTATAGTTTAAATAATATATACATATATAGACACAAAATGTCACTGTTGGAGTTCATTTGTTTGAATCTGGGGTATGTATGCCTCAGTGTAATGACTTTCTTCATTAAAATCCTTGGCAGAAATGGTTTTTATCCATATCCAATATACTATTTAAATATCAGTATATCAGAGCTGGTATAGCCTATATATGACGATCATATCACTGCTGCAGATGTAGGATCTTAATTTGATCACCCTGTTGCAGGAGAACTTTCCTGCGATGTGGGACATTTAAAAACTTGGTGTGTGTTTAAAAAGGCTTCTGAAGTTTGTAATTTCCACTTTGACATTTCAGACTTCATTTCCACTTAAGATACATTTATCAAGCCCTACAAAAATGTACATTAATTATAATCCACATAATAAGTCACATTTCCTGTTGCTGCAGGATTATTTTCCTGCTGTAGAAAACTGGCTTCCCCTCACAGGGAACATGGTTCACAGTTTGTGTTCTGTCATGAGATTCACTGGACTTGTTTGTCTTACTTTTCATTTACATGTTTTTTAATCTTACCTAAGGGATTCAATCCAACTTTACAGAGCTAACTAATGTGAACATTTTCCTTGCCAATTTTCCCTACATGTACAGTATACAGCATTTTCAACACATTCCTCAAGTACATGAATGTGGTACTACATCCATACAGCATTCCTAATACTAGAACATAGGAGAGAATACTGAGTTTGGTCATTATGTTAAAACATTTGATAGAATTAAATCCAATCTCTACTGAGTTTCATCAGCATGAGGTGTACCCAGAGCAATGTCCAAGCTCATCTATTCCTGATGCTGAATTGTAATAGGAGATAAATGCTTTCTGAATCCATCCCAGCCCATAACTTGGCAGTGATCTTTAAAATGCCGAAGAAGAGATGCCAACTAACTACTCTTATTCTAATTCCACCACATCTAAACTCATCCTAATTAATCCAGACGTGATTGTCAAAGCTGTATCTTCCCTCTGCTGTAATTTGGTTTTGGCTCCAAGAGCCCCCTGACCTTGTTTTCCACCCAAATTGATGATAGGGGATAGGAAAGCAAAAGGTTGGAAATCTATCCAACCATTTCACCTTTCAGTGGCCAAAAGAGACAAAGGACATAAAGAAAGAAAGTAAGTTATGAGGCGAAGGAGATGTGGCCATCTAAGAGAACTGGGACGCAGACATAGAGCCTGTCTCATCCACAGCCACAGAGCCTGTCTCATCTACAGCCATACAGCCTGTCTCAGCCTCAGCCATATAGCCTGTCTCAGCCACAGCCATGCAGCCTGTCTCAGCCACAGCCATACAGCCTCTCAGCCACAGCCATACAGCCTGTCTCATCCTCAATACAGGAAGGAATAGTGTGCTGCTCAGGAAGTCCACCACTTTCAAGGTCCCTGCCTTTCTTTTCCTGGCCGCCTGTCAGCGTGCTGCAATTAGTCCCTAGGAGCCTATTTATAGGCCTATCTTACTATCTCCAGTTAAACAATAGGACAATAGGGTACACACATGCTCTGTCTGATGGCAATCTGCAGGGCTTCAGCGTTGACAGGAGCAATTGAGACCTCTCTCCTTGGCAGGTTTCCCAGGTCAAATCAATCAACTGATCTCTCTTGTAAATGTACAGTGTTGATGAGTGCACCGTTACAGTCTGTAGTAGAGATACAGTGTAGAACATAGATGGTAGATAAATGACAGGTGAGGTTTGGTGGTATTTGATTAATCATACTAATGTATTCTTAATCAATTCGATAGGCAGGCCCAAATGTTTGGCTCTGGGTTCTCATTTTCAATAGTTATTCCAGAATATGGAAGTTTCAAGTGGTGTTACTGTTAGGTGTCTAAAAGGTTGTTATAATATTGCTCTTCTTCTTCACTGTCTCAGAGTCCAAAATGGAAATCATCACCCACACAGCAGATGTGTTGCTGGGTGAGAATTCCATGCTCCTCTGCAAAGGTTGGTACAATGTTCTGGCCAATTCCATAAGAGCAACATTTTACCCTGCTTGAACAAATACAATATAATGCGAAAAATGTAAAGGGTAGAGTGTCTTCTGCATATTGTAGTACACTGGCATATGCAGTTGTATGAATTTATATATCCTTAACAAATTATTAATATATGATACACACAATCACACATAACCCCTCTTAGCTGGTGGGGAAGGAGAGATCACCTGGCAGAAAGATGGAGAGGATGCTGAAGATGAACAGTTTGAGAAAGTGGATGAGACATCGTCAAAACTGTTCATCAGGAATGCCAAGATGGAGGATGCAGGACGGTACACATGCCTCTGTGAATTTGAGACAGGTCACAGAGATGATGTATCCTTGACCATCTTTGTCTACGGTAAGATGTTTAAAGTAAAACTTTTCACCTGGCTAATATGACCAAGAGTCAGTGTTGAAGGGTATTTCTCGTATTGTTTGAGTATTGAGCTAATTAAGTTGGCTTGCAAGATCAAAGACGCTATATTGCTCATATCCCTGTCACACACACACACACGTTTGACCCCCTAAACCCTTAACCCTAACCTTAACCCCAAACCCCCAACTCAATTCCTAACCCTAAACCTAACCCCTAACCCTAACCCTAATTCTAACCCTAACCCTAAACCTAACCCCTAAGCCTAAAATAGCCTTTTTCCTTGTGGGGAATGGTGAAATTTTCACAGTGACCCTCTCGCTCTCTCCATCCCTCTCTCAACTCACCCAGAGCGGCCATCCTTCGGGCAAACACCGGTCTACCATGAGTTCCTGGAGGGTCAAGATGCGGTTATCACCTGCATGGTCACTGGCAAGCCGGGGGTGGAAGTCAACTGGGAGAGGGACCATCAGAAACTGCACTCTGACGGTAGGAGGGGTGCCCTCGCAATGGCCGCTTCTGACAGTTCACGTGGTATGGGGGTCTCTTAGCTTCCTAGCTCCTCACACTAGCTGCGTGCCTGCCTGTGACTGATGGAGAGGTGGCGATGGTGGACACGCTGTTGAGGGGCGGGAGGGGTCATGTAGCTCATAGGCTATTCCGATTTGCCACCAAATCGAGGGATGCTTTCCGGACTCTTCCCCGGAAACATCTGATTCAAATCTGACAACCTTAAAGAGAGAGCGTGATTGCTTTTTGAAGCTTGGTTATAATGATGATGAAGCAGACAGAACGTGTTCCTGACGCTGAGATGGGGCTGATCTTTCTTTTCCCTGTTGCCATGTCTTGCTCCCAGCAGGTCGGATCACAATACTGAAAGACAACTCTCTACAGATCAAGAACATCAACAGGAAGGATCATGGATCCTATACCTGTGAGGGCAAAATCAAGGACCGGCACATTTCCGAAAAGATCGTCATCACCATTTTTGTCAACGGTGGGGTCTACTCAAAGTGAAGGAGGGAATAAGGGATATTTTAGGATCTTTATTTCATATAAACTCTGTATAGACCAGAGGATTAGGTGTGGTGTTGTATTTGACTATACTAAATCATGTCTCCTCTGACCCTCCTGCTGTAGTTCCTCCCACAGTGAAGATCCATGAGGAGGTGAAGAATGTCATGGCCGGACCAGAGACCAATGTCTCCCTCAGTTGCCTGGTCGAGGGAGTCCCCCAACCGAACATCACCTGGACAACGTGAGTGTGTGTGTGTGTGTGTGTTTGCTCACACCACTCATGTGCATGTGTGTAAAGCCAGAGTTTCCTGCTCGATACAGTTTGCAATAAAACAGAGAGAGATCGAGAGAGAGAGCGAGAGAGAGAGAGAGAGAGAGAGAGAGAGAGAGAGAGAGAGAGAGAGAGAGAGAGAGAGAGAGAGAGAGAGAGAGAGAGAGAGAGAGAGAGAGAGAATAAAACAGTGTATTGGAAAGTGTGTGTTTGGGTGAAGGCGTCCAGTGTGTCTATATTTATGTGGTCATCTATGTCTCAGTGCATCACTAATGTGGCGTGCCATCCTGTCTGTGAGGTTGACTGTGTGTCTCACTTCCTGTCAGCTTCCTTATCAGCACCGTGCTAATGTTCTGTAGCACCAGGCCTCACGTCTGTCTGTCTGTCTGTCTGTCTGTCTGTTGGTGCTTCCCTCCTCAGCCCAGACTCTTCAGATGAGTCCCGCTACAAGTACAACTCAGACAAGAGTGAGCTGATTATCTCGTCCGTAGTCAGGAGTGACTATGGAGAGTACATCTGCACGGCCAAGAATAAGATCGCAGAGAGCAGTGCCATGATCATGCTGGATGTCTCAGGTGTGGTTTTTTAGAGAAAAACAAACAGCTTTAGCTTCATAAAACCAAGCTTTCTCCAAAAGAACAGATTAAAAATAGCTTGTTATTTGAATACTTCCTTCCAGATGTTTACGTTCCTGATATACAGAGATATCATGGAGAATTTGATTCTGTGTATGCAACCATTTTCTGTCAGACAGTCTAGTGAGCCTGAGCCAATAGAAGGTGTTTCGGAAAACAAACCATTTGATCCCATTCAAACCCATTACCTGTGTACCATTTTCAATTTGAACGTTAAACCAGGGAAAAGCAGCAGTGTGTGTCTCTCATCAGATAATAAATAAAAGTTAATCTTCAGGTGTCTGCACAGAATGAGTACCTTGGAGGAAAATGGGGAAGGTTCATGGTTTTTCAATTTCAGTCAAGTGGAGGGTTTAGTATTTTTTTAAAATCTAGTTCTGGGGAGGGTCATGTAATTTGTAATTGATGAAATTTCAATATTTCTCAGTATTTTAGAATGAGTTGCTTATTAGACTATATATGGACGTGTGCCTGATGCCACCCCTCATCTCTGATTCTCCACTGGTTGGACAATATCAGGTGTGCCTACAGGCTATTTAGAGTGGTCTTAATCAAATGTAGGCTAAAGGCTACGAAGTGCATGCTCGGAGAAGCACAGAGCAAAGTTATATTCCTAAGATAGCTGCTGGGATGGTGTAAATAAAACTAGGCTGCATTACACACTGCAATGGATATTCCAACCCTGAGCCCCGGCCACCTCTGCTCTTGTTGATCAAAAACCTTTTTGTGTCCTGCCTAACCAATGGCTGTGCTGTGTAGGCCTAAGGTGGCAGTTCAGGAGGAGAGTCCAAGGCATTTTTTTATTAGGCCTAGTCTAAAAATGCACTAACTTGAGCGCAGACTAGCCTATAGCCTATGTTCTGTTCAGTTTGAGGAGAGCACAAAGATGAGAAGGAGGATCGGAGGTCAACTTTGATAGCTTGCTACTACTATCATTTATTTTGATTAAAAACAATATGTTTCTTGCCCATGTATTTCTTCATTTTAATTCAACTTTACTAACAACAAGAGGGCTTTGTGTTGGAGCATATTTCTTCCTATTTAAGAAATAAGAGGTAGGTCTACCTGGTTTGACAGACGAAATTAGGTTATAGGCTGCTATATCCATAGATTTGTCCGTCAATTCCTCCACCCACCATGCACTCTTTAAATAGCCCACCCCCGTGTCAGTGAAGGGTTGTTAAGTTAAAACCAAGACTCAAATTGAGGGGGTATGAGAGGGTATGCCATAGGCCTACCTTTTATTAAAGAAAAGGGCAAAAAGCACAGGCCTACCCCTTGTTAACTTAAGATTTTGAAGAAAATAAAACAGAATCCGATTACATAAAATGATCTACACTAAATGTACAAAACACCTGCTCTTTCCATGACATAGACTGACCAGGTGAATCCAGGTGAACACTATGGTCCCTTATTGATGTCACGTGTTATTCAATCAGTGTAGATGAAGGGGAGAAGACAGGTTAAAGACAGGTTAAGCCTTAAGACAATTGAGACATGGATTATGTGTGCCATTCAGAGGGTGAATGGGCAAGACAAAACATATGCTGAGGAATATTTCTGTCTTTAATAAAGCCATGTGATGTGAAATCCATAGATTAGGACCAAATGAATTCATTTCAATTGACTGATTTCCTTCTATGAACTGTAACTCAGTAAAATCTTTGAAATTGTTGCATGTTGCGTTGATTTTTTTGTTCAGTATAATTCTGTCACTATCAGTTGATTAAGCTATTCACTTTCTGTCCAATAGAAGATGTTTAAACCCGGACAGCTTTTAGGGAAACACTTGTGACCTTCTCTCGTTGGGTCAAACCATGGAAGAAGAGCAGCCAGCAGTTAAAGCTTACATTTTTCTGCGTCGGTAGGCGTACTCCTCATATGTCTCAGATTTAATTATTTACAAACAGGGACAGGTTCATTGCAAACAAGACAAACTGATTTGGCATTGGAGAAATATGATAAGATGAACACATAGGCCTATCTCTCTGTCCAGTCTTAGCCTGTAATTTCGGTAATTTGTGTGGTATTAAAAAAGATTCTGCTAATATGTAAAATTACGTAGAATTACATGAAATGTTTATACATGTTTTCTCAGACCTGCAAATACGATGATAGATTTATGCAGTGCTTTTACTATAAAGGAAATCTTTCCACCTTGTCCACGGTGGTCTGCAAACCCACAACCTTCTGGCCCTGGCCGCAGCCCTGTGCGCAATCAACATTCCTGCGTTGCCATGTAATGCTTACAGGACAAAGAACAGTTTCTAAAACGTCATATCTAAGGCTCTGGTCTGTCCAAGGAGAGAGGGTAAACAGTAGACATGTTCCCTGCTTTCCACTTTATGTTTTCATTATTATTTTGGGTATAGGGGAGGGTCACTTGTTTTTTGTTTTTTATGTTCAGGGAAGGTTAAATATATTTTGCTGAAGGAAGGCCCATCCATTTTTATTTCAGAGAGGTTAGATTTTCTCCATGTAACCCTTATCATAAATAACGTTCACTCCCTAACCATACACAAGACCAATATCTTGCTGGCTTAACCATACACAAGACCAATATCTTGCTGGCTTAACCATACACAAGACCAATATCTTGCTGGCTTAACCATACACAAGACCAATATCTTGCTGGCTTAACCATACACAAGACCAATATCTTGCTGGCTTAACCATACACAAGACCAATATCATGCTGGTCTTCGAAGCCATCTGAACACACAACTCACAATCATTTTTCCTATTTAACAGAAGATGAATATATATTGTTAATAATTTGCACATATTCTTATCTAATGTAATTTGTTTGTGATTGTCACACAAAGCACTCAGTTCTTCCTGTCTCTTGTTCTGTACGTGTCTCCAGAGCATCCTGTAGCAATGCTGAGCCAGGAGAAGATGGAGGTGGAGCCTGGCCAGACACTCTCAGTGTCCTGTAACGTCTCAGGACACCCTATGCCCGCGCTGCAGTGGGTCAGGAAGACCAACAATGACCACCTCGTAAAAGTAGTAAGACAGACGTTTTTTTAAATTAAAAAGACTGATGATATGATACGTTCACACAGTGGCATTAATTACTAAAAACATTGGGGGAGAACCAGGCAGAGAATTAGTTTTTTGTTATATTTCTCTCCTCTGAATTCCTGTCTGGTTGTGTTTGTGTGGACACAGGACGCTGGTGGAGGTCGAGTGAGAATGGAGGATGGCTATGTCCTGGTCATTGACAATGTGACACCCTCTGATGGAGGTCTATACAGCTGCATGGCTATCAGTCCTGTTGGCAACACCTCCACAGACTTCAGCCTGCAGAGTAAGGCCACTCTTGACCTTCCTACTCTTTTATGATAATACTTAGCGCTAACACAACATCCCACTGGACACAGACGTCCGTTCAATGTTTAATTTTGATTTACAGTTGGTTGACTAACTAACTAAAATGTCACCATGTCATTGGATTTAGGTTAAAAGTTGGGTAAAAAACTTTTTTCAAATCCAATCAGTTTTTTACGTTGATTCAACATCATCGCATTTAATTTTGGGGTTTAAATGACATGGAAACAACGTTGAGTCAACCAGTTTTCACCTTTCTATAAAGGGACAAGCAGCCACAAACCACTATAATATTAAAAAATAACTGAAAACAATGGGAGTTTTTAACTTAAGTGTAGGTACTCTATTTACATTTGCAGTGATCACCGTTTTTTGTTTCTAATGGCAATGTTCTTCTTCTTTCATCCTGACATGCTCATTCTCTCTTCACCTCTCTCTGTCTTTGAACTGCTCTGCACCTCCCTCCTTCCACCCTCTCGTTCTCCATTTTTCTCTTATCTCTCCTCCCCCAGCCTGGCCAGGTAAAGCATCCCAGGTGAGTGGCACCCCAGGGCCCACGTCGGTCCACTTCACCCTGGGGGCTTCCCTGGTGGACGGGGGCTCTCCCATCACCAACTTCATCCTCCAGTGGAAGACAGGAAGTGAGAACAATTGGCAGGAGAGAGTCATCCAGTCCACAGGTAAAAACCTGACTCTCAGTGACCAATCTATTTAATGAAATACTGTAGATGATGTTTGGGACAGTTACATAAGATGAATCCAATGAATACGTTGAGGACTAGAAGTCGTATCTGAATACTGATTTCCCTAAAACCAGGGGAGGCCTCTGATGACGATTTTAGTGATATGACTGAGTAGTTTGAGTGTATAAATATAAAAGTGATATGTGTGTGTTCATGCACTCTGTTGTTTGTGTGCAGACCCCCTGGTGATCACACATCTGTTTCCCTACACCTCCTACTCTGTCCGATTTGCCCCTCGGAACAACCTGGGACAGGGAGGTTTCTCAGACGAGCTCACCGTCCGCACACAGGGCATACGTGAGTGTCACCCTCCTCTTCCTCCTCTCTCTCTCTTCACTCCGAATCGCATCATATCTAGGCAAATGCAGTATAATTATTATTAAATGTCACCAACTATCGTTGTTCAAACTGCATTACTTGTGTTAACAAGCTATGTCCATATTGTGATACAAACTATATCCATATTGCCTACTGTTTTGAGTTTCTATATATATTGGCTGGAAGAAATGTTCATCTGCCATCATTCACTCATTCCACTGTCACATGATCATCCACATGACATCGTCACCTGCTCGCTGACGGCTACTCATGCTCCATTATTGCCCCACTCCTGATGTCATCATCCCATTCCATTGGCATTCGGCCCCGCAGGAGGTAAAGTACTGACACGTGTTGTGAAACTCTGCAAAGCCAGTTTTTTCATGGATAACCAACCTACCATAATGACAGTAGATTTTACTACAACACTGTGTAGTTATAAGCTGACTGATGCATGAACACGCCTGACCTCCTGTACCTACTGTACCAACACACTGCCCCTCCCTTCCCAGGGGAACCAGACAGCCCGGTCCTGGTGGCCAGCGAGGGGAAGGTTGAGGGCAATATGTTCTCAATCCCTTTAACGCAGTTGGACAACGGAGGCTCCCCCATTATCCACTACATTGTCCGCTACAGAGTGGTGAGTATGCATGCGTTTTTGTTTTTCAGTGAAGACAAAAGATCAAGACATTACAGAGTGTGCATGTCCTTAACCCCCCACTCTCTGTCTCTCTCTTAGAATAAGGTGGACGAGGACTGGAGGCAGAAGGACCTGCCATCCAACTCGACAGTGATCAACCTCCATGACCTGCAGTATAATTCAGACTACCACATGGAGGTGCTAGCCGTCAACCCCAACGGCTCCTCCAGCCCCGCCAAGCTCAACTTCAACATCCCACAGCCTGGTAAGCTGCTATGGCATACTGTAGTAGTGAAATAAATCTTGAGACCATCTGAGAGGTGTCAGAGGCAAGGACACACCAGAACTCAACAACAATATAGCAAACAATTATATACTTTATTAAACATTTAATTTCATAAGACTGCGTGGAGTATCTGAGATAGGCGCCCTACTATATTTATGCAGTCTATGCAACTCAACTGGAGCCTGAGTAGGAAGCGAAAACTGTGGGGTAAGAAACACATAGGCTATGAGCTTAATTACACACTAGGAGGTGACACTGCACACAAAGGTGGGAACATGTGGTTACAAGGCAAACTGGACATCAAATACTCTTAAAGCATGCGACCGACTTCACTGCAGACAGGTGCTTGGACCAACACAAACAGTCAAAAGACCCACACGATAGTGATAAAGGCATATATAGGACCCAGCCCTCTTAAGCTACATAACTGTTCTGCCCGCCCTTCATAACCCCTGCTGTAATTTAAAAAGCTACTCCTAACAACTAAACACATTTAACAGGACTTAGCCAACAGAATAGGTACAGACATGACACTAAACATTTAAATGTCATATTTAAACACATTTAGCTTGTCTAGCTGACGAGACGCTCCTGTGGGGTCTGAGCGTGTGCACCCTTGCTGAGACGGCAGGCATGGCAAGTTGCAGGCCGACAGTAGGCACATACCTTAGATGCACTGAGTAGCCTTAGCTTTAAGCAACAACCCAAAAAATAGCTTTCTTATCTGGTTGTCGTCGGCAGCCCTACACAGCAGCGAATGACACCCTCCCACCATTATAGGGTGAGTGCAGCTTTACCACAGTTACATACTGGAAAACGGACTATTGCCCAATAGAGAGGAAAATATCTCTGAACTAAAAACAGTTACAGAACAGAGCAGCCAGAGCAGGATAAATATGATTCTCTCTCCCTCGCTGTGTCTCTCTCTCCTTCTCTCCCTCCCTTTCATCCCCTCCCTTCCCTTCTTCCCTTTCAGTAGCCAAGATGAATCAGGGTGGGATGGGGAAAGGGGCTGTGGCAGGCATTGTCATGCTCATCTTCTTGGTGCTACTGATCGCCGTGGACACCACCTGTTGCTATACCAACCGCTGCGGCATGTTGATGTTCCTGGCTGTCAAGCTGTTTGGGCAGAAGGTCCCTGGGATGAAGACTGTGGAGGAGGGTGATGGCATCTCTAATGGGTAACACTGTTCTCTAGCCTACTGTCTGTCTGTTCCTCAACGTAACGTGTTCAGAGGGTTGTAGTGTGGTTATGTGTGTTTCTCTATATGAACCCTCCTGAGCCTCAGTTTATGTGTGTCCTTCAATGCAGAGACTTGAAGTTGAATGGGCTAGGCATACCGAGGGATAGCATCCCAAAACTGCAGACACAAAATGTGGCAAAGAATGGGTTGCAGGCGGAGGTCACATGCGACAAAGCGCCCCTCACCAAATTCGAGTAGGTGGCCCATGATGATGTCAGAGGGGTGGACACAGCCCACCCTCGCCCTAAACGGTCTGTGATCCATAAAAAATGGCAAAAAGAGGCACCTCTGCACTTATAAGTCAGCAAGTGTGTTTGATCACTGACTAATTATATTATAAGTAATATAACCATGTGCAAAGTGATTCCCTTAGCCATTTTTTTATACCCATTTTAATTGTTAGGTAGCCACCACCCACTTGCCACTGCTAGAGTCTTTGATGATTTGAACTGACGAACACAGGAATACCCTCTCAGATTTAGAAGGCACACAGTCTTATTTTCCTGTATTTGCATGTGCGTATTTCGTTACTGAGGTAAAGACTCATTAAATATTTCCATGGCTAGCTGTATTGAGTTGTATTTTATATCTAACCTGACCCATCATTTCCTGTCAGGAAAACGTCCCCCAATGGAGATCCAGCCACAGAGGCCTGAGTTACTGAACAGGAAGTGACATCATAGTATCTGAAGAATGGAACCAGTAAATGCCAAAGTTGAAAGGAGGAAGTATTGTGAGTTGGGGGTCTTAGTTAAATGTTTTTTGAGAGTTCCCAGGACAGTCCAAGTTGAGAAAGAAAAAGGATTAGGAAAGTTATCTGTGAACTCTAATGTCTATGTGTAATTTCATCCAACCCTGTGCAATCTCATGTTAAGTGTTACGTTTCCTTGATTTTATATTTCAGTACATTCATGTTATATTTCAGCACTTTAAGGCTGCTGTAAATTGTCAGGGAGACCTTCGTAGTTTATGAATTGAATCATAACTCATTATTTATTGAAGTCTATATTCACTTTAATCTGCAAAAAATCTGTAAGTGACATATCATTATTTAATAAGGACAGTTTATTCTAACATATTAACATATTTCCACATTCAATATACAGTATCCAGCATGATCACATTAACAAATAACAACGTGTCAAAATTACATCTCTTCAAGGATTGTAATCATGACAAATATACAGAGCTCTTATATATTACAGAGAAATATGATATGCTTATTTTTTTAATAATCTGTTGTTAAATTGCATTCCCTGTGTGCTCATGTAATCGTTTTATGTTTGTATTTGTATAATTATCCAATTTTTTACTGTTTATTTTGTATATTGTACACTGTACATAGTTTGTACATACACATACACCATAACAGCTATGTATTTAGCTATTTTAAAAAATTGACTTAAAAACATGCTTGTTTTCATTCACTTTTCTTCAGATGCCCATACTGTAGGCCAGGACTGCCCAACCCTGTTCCTGGAGAGCTACCGCCCTGTAGGTTTTTGCTCCAACCCTAATCTATCACACCTGATTCTAATAATTAGCAGGTTAATAAGATGAATCAGGTTAGTAACACGTGGGGTTGCAGTGAAAACCTACAGGAGGGTAGCTCTCCAGGAACAGGGTTGGGCAACCCTACTGTAGGCCTTGTGGTCTAGATATCAAAGTTCTCTGACCACCTCAGTGTGTTTGTGGTTGGCTGTAGATAACCGCATCATCATCCTCTGCCTTGTTATTCCGCTGCCTCCTTTTAAGGGGAACAGGTTTTAGTGCAGATCTACATTTGTATTTACCCAGTAGTTATTAAGATATTACAGACACTACGAAATGTAAGCCTGTTATTGCATTATTGCGTACACGTTTTTTGCAAGTTATTATGCAAGTGTTTTGATACAAAAGAAAATCCTTGTGCAATTTACTTTGAGAGTCTCACTCACTCTGTGGTTATTTACCTGGGTGAAGGAGCAGGCCTGATTTTGAGCTCTGCATAGTTCAGATCATCAGGATCAGTGATCGGCTTGGCTGACTGTCTCATATTTTCATAGATGTCCTCTGGTGTAGACAAGGTTGCTTTCTGTATCTAACAGTCAGAATACAGTCAAAATACTGAGCACCGGCCCCTGACATAGAATTACTCTCTTTCTACTCTTTGGCATACTTTAATTAACTCAAAGTTAAATGGGATTGATTTCCACATTTACCATTCACTTTCATACGAGCTGTTTTTTTTATCTAAGAAAAACAGGAACAATAAATTCCATGTGGAAGGTTTGTTTGGCAATGACAACATGCCCCATTGCATCACTTTGAAGTGACACTCCACAGTTACCACATTTAGTAACTTCCCTTCAGACAACAGACTGACTGAGTTGGTGAAGGGTTGTAGAAGCAGACAACCACAGTAAGGCCACTGTTAGTACTTTCTTTTCCTCTGATCACCTACCTGGGGGACTGGTTTGGTCGGAAGCTTCTTCTCGGCCGTGATCCACTTCCGTCTGTGGATGATAAAACAAAGCGAGAGGCCTGTCATGCTTTCCACTGTGGGCCAAACCAAACCAAACCAAACCAAACCAAACCAACAGTTGGTGGATGTCAATGCCAGTATGGTATATCTTTTGAAATAACATTTGGTTGAAGGTGTGTTCTTTCCCCGTCCCTAATCTTAGTGAAGTTAGCAGTCCTGTCCTCTGAAACCAGGTGTAGGTCTCTGCTGCAGGGTTGGCGTTATTGCTGCAGGTCAGAGTCAGACGACTGCCTTTCACTACCTCAGGGCTCGGGCTGGCCTTAAAAGAAACGTCCCTTGGAGCATCTGGAAGCAGACGTACAGAAAACAACATTGTTCTGTGTGTATTCATTTGACTGGATGTTAGTAGTCCTGCATTTATACATTAATACAGACAATGAATCAACTAAGCCATCTGAAATGTACATTGGCCACTGTGAAGAGAAAACAACACCTTGAAGATAGCTGACTACAGAAAAAATAGCTTCAAACCAACATTTATTGCTGACTTACATCTCACATCCAGCAGTATTGATGTAGATGTGCCTTGCCCCAGACCACAGGTGTAGCACCCAGTGTCATTAGGGGAAAGTGGACCTAGGGGATACTGCCCACCAGGGACACCAGAGACACCAGGGAGTGGGCGGCCATCTTTAAACCAGAGGAACTCCATTTGAGGAGGGTTACAGCTGGAGGTGCAGGCCAGCGTGACGTTGTCTCTCTCCTTAACAGGGCCATTTTCATTTAACTTTAGGGATAAGACTGACATGAAGAAGAAACATGTATAACCAAATATAGGACATGTTGAAGGGTTAATAACTGACCACCATAGGTTAGGTAATACCTTCATTGTTTAGTATGATGACATGTACATAAATCTAGATTTACCTGATATGTTCAGGTCTACACCCCCTGGTCCTGTAAATCCCTGAGGGTCCTGATTATCTTTCTTTGAGTGAAATCTGAAGAAAAATCTGCCACTGTCATCTTCAGTCACATTGTTGAGTTTCAGTGTGCAGTTTTTGTCTTGGTCATAGAACTCTGTTCTTCCTCTGTATCTTGTCTTATTCAGTCCAGATGTGTCATACACTACATCTCCCTGCTGTGAGCCGTCTAGTTTTTTACCACCTCTCGGAGTGAACCATAGCTTTTTTATAACTTTATGGGTAGCTGGGTAGCTGTATGTACAGTCAAATACCACTGATGAGCCTTTTGATGCACAGATAACGGAATTCCTGTCGCTGCCACGGTACCAAACAGACCAGGTCTGGGCCAGTGTGCCTGAAAACAGCGACTGAAAACATCAGTGCCCTTGTGATAAAAACAACCCCACACAATACATTGATTTATTCATTTTCCACTGATGTATATAATTCACTTAAACAAAGATAAAACATACCTGTCAGGGAGAGTAGAGTTAACAGAGATAACGGTAGGATGTATTGACAGTGCATAGCGGCTTTAGCCCTGTAGGAAGGAGAGTTGTATTCCAGAAAATATATAATCAATACAATATTTGATCCAAGAACGTAGTACCAATAGCTCTGCTATGTGTTATCTGACCAGCAGTGTCCGGGCTAATTCTTCTTATTGAAGACTAGGGGGTTGTGGAGGAGTACTGATGTCAACATGAAACATCTATAACTGTCAAACTTCTGCTTTTTGGAGAGAAAAAAATTCCAACAGCCACAACAGTACCACAGCCAAACTGATTTGTGTTATTTTGCAATAACACCCACTGTGCAAAAACTGGTTGAATCAACGTTGTTTCCATGTCATTTCAACCCCCAAAAATCAATGTTATGGCATTGAGTCAATGTGGAAAACTGATTGGATTGATAAAAAGTCATCAATGTAAGGGCATTGTCTTTTTAACCTAAATCCAATGACATGGTGACATTTGTTGTTGATTTCACGTTGAATTCACGTTAGTTGACAATTCAATACCTCTCAAGTATTTCATTCAAAACTAGACGTTGAACTGACATCTGTGCCCAGTGGGCAGAGGCAGTATATAATATGGTATGGCATATACTTCAAGATTAATATACTCAACAGTTTTGTTTGAATTAATTACTTGAGAGGTTTTGAGTTATCTGATTAAACCAAAACTATAGTAATTCCACCATTACTACTGAATGCTGGATAAAGAGATGACACAGACTTATTTTGCTGCTATATATTTATTATTAGGCTTTTCAAAGTTGTAAAGGATAGACAGAGATACACACATACAGAGATAATCTGAGTTGTAGTGATACACAATTCTGGGATTATATCTGGATTATAATGAATACAGAGTTCAATAACAATTCCATGCATAAATACTCATAATCCCTCACAACATTATATAGTTCAGAATATGTTATCACATACAGAAGGTAATTTTAAGGTACTTTTACGATTTTACGTTGAAATACCTACAGCCTGGACATGAAAGGGACGTTTTTAAAGGATATTTTAGAGCCATGAGAGTTTATTTGAAAATTAAAATGCTCTAGCCTCCAAACTTGATATGTACAGGTTTTCCATATTTGTTAAGGAGTTTTTGAATCCATGACTGGTTGTTTGAATCTTTGCTACTGATAATGTAACAACCCCTGACCCCCTTCACCACCGCACACGTGGTCTTTGGACCACAGGGCGCCACTTCACAGGCCATCTCGCCGGAGCTACAGCTGCAGCGGTGGTGGCAGTTCTCCTCCTCATAGAAGACCTCGCCGGACACAAAGTAGCGACCCTCGTGGTGACAGCCGCAGTCCTTCACGTGGACACACTTGTCTTCGCTCAGCAGGAAACCAGGTTTGCACTGACAGCCCTCCCCTGGAGGAGTGGTGCATCCTGGGGCGGAGGTCATGGAGTAACATGTGGCCGGGCACCCCGGGGCCGAGAGGCTGTAGACACTGTTCTCTGGACAAGGGAGGTCTGAAAACACACAGGGAGAAAGAGAGGTCAATGGAATTAATCACAATTTTCGAGTTTCAGGATTTCATTTAAAATGTAGGGTTCGAATTTGCAGTCTTATTTTACTGTCAGATTCCTGAGAGATAAAAGAAGAAACCAACACACTGTCAGATTCCTCTTTTAAAGAACTGATGAATTACGACTCATCATAAACCTGAAGGCTAATGATAGAAAACCAGAGGACTTACGGCAGAAGTCTTTACTCCTCCAGGCCTCGATTTTCCCTCCCTTCTCCTGACACTCTTCCACATAGTTGGTGATGATGTCACAGGCTGCCGTCAGTAGGCCGCTGTTGAGGATCATGTCATAGATGCAGTCTTCTTTGTACTCAACAGAGTCCACTCTACCAATGCAGTCTCTGAGGGGACCACTCTTGTCCACAATGACATCACAGGCGCTGACATATTTGGGCTTTATAAGGGGGATGTCTACAACTGCACAATCTTTGCACTCATGGGAGCAGCCCGGTACGTCAGCTACCCAGTAACTGTTTCCAAACTCCTTGGGACTCATGGGCTTTTTCCCATCGGGCAGAAGCAGGTCGTCGTCAGGGTTGTCATTGAGGTTGCCACAGAGACCACAGATGGCGTTGTGGTAGGTGCTCGGGACCTTCACCCTCACCTCGCTGGACCAGTCGAAGGAGACCTTGAGACCGAAATGAGTCTCCAGCACAGCAAAACGGCTGTTTCTGTAGATCTGAACCTCAGTGTTGTTGGAGTAGTACGGTAGAGACGTCAGGACATCGTTCACCTAAAATACAGTCCAGTGAAAATAGAGAGTGGAATGGATACTATTCCACAAGAGTGATTTTTTTTCAAAACAGTATATTATACAAAATAAATAATAACAACAGTTAGTACAGGACCTGTATTACTCACCAGGACTTTGCCGTGATAGTCGCCTGTGATAGTGTAACTACTTCCCAACACAACAACAGTCACCACCTTGGCGTAGGAGACTCTGGTGCTGCCCCTGTTGTTGTTTTCCAGAGTCACCTCAAAGCTCTCCAGATCGGGCTCTTTGGAGCAGACCCCCGCCAGCTTGTAGATACAGTTTCCCTGGAAGTCGAAGCGCTTCCCATCAAAGGTGCGGAAGTGGGGGTCCCCCTGTGCTGAGCAGGTCTTGAAGCTGAGGGGGTAGCAGTCCTGAACCCCGTTGACCACTGCACAGTGCTCACTAGCCTTGCACTTTCTGGGTATACACACCACCTTCTGTGTGGCTCCGTCGCACACACACTTACTCTGACACGTGTTGCCCTCCCAGAAGGTTTCTTCAGGCAGGTAGTAGTGGTCATTGTGTGTACAGCCACACCCTGTCTCCTTGACGACACAGTGTTCATCGCTGAGCACGTAACCCTTGTCACACTGGCAGCCCTTCACACAGACTTTGGAACAGATCTCGGAGACATTGGGATTGGCACAGGTAGCAGGGCAGGCAGTGCCACATAGCTCATAGTGGCTGTGGTACGGGCAAGCCAGGGCTGTTCGAGTTGAGAAAAAAACAACATCACAAATGTAGGCCTAATACATTTTGCAAATGCACAAATGGTTCTATCGTGTCATTATGCACATTTAAGGATGTCTGAGTTCCTAAATGTGATGTTTTGTTATAGCTGAGTACTTACGGCAGTTGGTGGCCTTTCTCCACAGTGGTGAGACAATGGCCCCAGCCTGCTGACATTTGGCCACGTAGTTAGCCAGGGCCTCACATAACACTTCCTGTCGCCCCTCATTCAGACACACATCATAGAGGCAGTCTGAGGCAAACTCCTTCACCGGCACTTTCTTATGACACTGGTCAAAAGGGCCCCTTCCGTGTGTCATCAAACCACAGTACTTTGGTCCAGTGTAAAGTGCCCGGTCTGTATCTGAGCACGTGGGGCAGTTGCCGTTACAGACGTGCCAGCAGAAAGGGTCACCGTCGGCAACGCTCCAGGACGCCACCCACGCCGTGGTATTGGTCGAAAGCACGCCTGTGGGAGTGGTGAAGTCATCTGCTTTGTTACCATTGTAGTTGCCACAGATGCCACCGAGGTTGTCGTAGTAACTGCTGCTGATGGTCACCATGAAGAGGATGTTCCAGTCAAAAGTGATCTTGAGGCCAACATCTGTCTGGATGGTCCCTTGGATACCAGACTCTGTGATTCTGACGCTGCCAGACTCCAAACTCACAGGGAGGTCAGACCTAATGCCATCAATCTGAGACAAGAGAGAGAAGAGGATTTAAAGAGGACTTAAAGCAGATGGAGAGCATGGAGGATTCTTACATTCAACTTCAAAATGGAAAATCTGTATCAAGTATAACTGAAAGCCACCCACCTCCACTGTCCCTCTTTGGCCACTGAGAATGGTGATCCTGTGACCACTCAGGTCTATGTTGGCTGACTTGAAGAAGGAGCCTTTAGAGTTGAAGCGCAGCTCGTTCTTGGTCTGGATGCTGAACTGAGGCAGGGAGGGGTCTTTGCCCGTCGTGTTCACCAGAATGTAGGAGCAGGTACCCATGAAGGAGAAGGGCTGGCCATCGAACGTGGTGTAGTGAGGGTCACCGAACAACCAGCAGTAGGCCTTAGACTGGGCCACACATACCGCCTTATTGTTCTCCACCACACAGTTCTCCTTCTCACGGCACTCAGTGTCCTCACAGGGGTCTGACAAAATGTGTATTAGAGATGTTAACATATCTTGCTCATAGTAATATCAAAATAAGAACATCAACAAAGTCCATAATTCCACATCAAAAGGTACTAACATAAAGCCATATCTGTTTGGTTTTATTATTATTCATGTTTTTTTTTACCTGTGCTGTAGCAGCCCAACACTCCATTCTTCAACCCACATTTCTGGCCCTCTTTGCACTGTGAGTTCTTGCAGGTGAACACTCCTGAAGCACAGCTGCAGGTCTCAGAACAGTTGCCCAGCATCACAGACTGGCCAGACTGAAAACCAGCAAAACATGGAAATTATATAATTGAGTGTTTATACTATGGTGGTAACCATAGGATGATTGTAAACAATAAATATTTACCAAGGATAGTGATTTATTATATTACTTGCACTTTATATTTGCATTTAGCGTAAAACAGATATAGACCTATAACTGTATTAATCGCTTTAGGATACCATTTCATTTTTGGGATATGAAATGGCAATTTATTTGTCAATACACACAAAAAAGTAATCACCATGTAATAGTGTCCATCAACCACACAGCCACAGTTCTCCAGTAGGACACACTTGCCACCATCAAACACAAAGCCGTCGTCACACTGGCAGCCCTCCTGGCATAGTGGGCATTTGGGAGACTCACTGAGAGAGTCACAGGTGGAAGAACAGGTGTCGGCACACAACTCATAGTGACTGTTAGCTGGACACGTCAGAGCTAGAGGACAGATGGAAATGGGAGGAGATGCATGTTATCAAAAAACATAATAAACTTCAATGATCAATTTCAGCTTCAATTGTTTTTCAGCAGAGCATTAGGTCAGAAAAATATTGCACACTAAGATAAACTAGGATAAGGTAAATTAACTTTCAATATCAAAATTCACTCACGACAAAACTGGTCAGATCTCCAACTGCTGACAATGCCACCGGATGCCTGACAGAAAGTCACATACGTCTGTAAGTGGCGGCACAGGGCATCCCCACCCTCTCCCTCCTTCACGCACTCCTCAAAGTGCACTTGTGGTGGCACAACAGCATGGCATTGGGCAAATGGACCCTTGGTTGACTTTATGATGCTACAAGCCGCCGGGGGTCCAGTGGAGGGAGGACACTTCAAGCCCCCGTCACATCCTGTCTGACATTTGACCCCTTCCAGAACCACCAACCACCCCGCTGCAAACTTCTCCACAGACGGCTCCTGCAGCCCACTGGGCAGCAGGAAGTCATCTTCCTTCTTGTCATTATAGTTGCCACAGAGACCACCGGTTACACCTTTGTAAGTGGATGGAAGCTGTATGATGGCGCCAGCAACAGTGTCGTAGGTCACCATCAAGCCAAAGTCTGTTACCAAGACGATGTTAATGCCATTCTGGTAGGCCCTGACCTTTCCATCTCCGAGTGACAGTGGGAGATTTGCAGCAACGTCATCCACCTGTGAAAGAAGAAAAGATTGAAAACATCAGTTTTTCTAATCAAGTGTTGCTTTTTAATACTGAAATGAATAGATCAAGACAGAAAACTACCGTTATTTCCCATATCACTCTGGGAGACATAGATATCTTGTATTTGTAGGCCTGTATTTCAACCCTCCTGGTGACCATTGCATCATCCATCTTGGTCAACTGCTGCACTGACACAACAAATGGAGCCATCGAACCGTATTTCTCCACAACCTCCAACATTTTGTACACACAGTCCCCGTGTAGGCTGAAGCAGCTGCCATCGAATGAGTGGAATCTCCTCGCCCCGCTCACATGGCAGGTGCCCGTGCTCATGGGTACACAGGCCTGCACCCCGTCTTGGACCTGGCACTTCTCATTGGGACCACAGGCAAACTTCACATTACACTCCACGTCTCCATCCTTGTTACACACACAGCGCTCTTTACACTGGCCGTTGGGGAAGAACACCTGGCCCATCTGGTAGTATTGGCCTTGGTGAACGCAACCACATTCAGCCAGCGGCACACACTCGCTATCACTCAGTATGAAGCCGTCGTCACACACACAGCCCTCGGTGCACAGGGAGTTCGCACAGCTTTCAGGCTCATCGAGGCCGCTGCAGGTCTGGGGGCAGCTTGAGGCACACACCTCATAGTGGCTGTTGGCCTTGCAGGAAGATGCTACAACACATTAGGCCAAACATGATAGAATTTAATGTTGGAACCAGGAGCTGCTAGCTAGACAAACCACTTCTGACTTATTGTAATGATCATAACTTTTACAGTAGTGGTTTTGAAATTCACATTTGATGAGGTGTGTCTGTGCACTACTTACGACAGAAGCTGTCCGACCTCCACTGTTCCACCTTGGCAGGGGCATCCTGGCAGGCAGTGGTGTAGGTGCTGAGGGCGTTACAGAGGGCAGAGGCATGGCCACGGTACAGACACATATCAAACACACAGTCCTCATAATACTCTGTGGGGTCCACCTTGGCGTGGCAGTGCTTGAACGGACCGTTCTTGTCTGTGATCCTGCCGCAGTACTTCCCTGTTTGGTAATCCAGCATCAGGCTGTGGTCACAGGTGGGGCACTTCTTGCCGTCACAGTCGCTGGAGCAGCCAGGGTCGTTCCCCACTTTCCAGCTGTCCCCGAATAATGTTGGGGTGTTGGCAGGTCTCTTGTCTGGTTTGAGGAGGTCGTCGTTCCGTTGTCCATTCCAGTTTCCGCAGAGCCCTCCGATGAGGTCTGAGTAGGAGCTGGGGAGGGTTAGGGAGACGTGGCTGTTCCAGTTGAACTTCAGTGTCAGGCCAAAGTTGGTCTTCACCACCCCGAAATACCCACTGCGGAAGATGGACAGTAGGCCATCTTCTACATCAAATGGCAAGTTCACATACTGGTTGTTGACCTGGGAAGAGAGAAAGAAACGTTAATGATACATGAAGGACGATACTGTCCTGATATTTCTTCTTACAGTAAGTAGTATAATCATGAGCGCAAATTTACTAAATAAACTCAGAACGCAATTATGTCATTCATTTGGAATGGAAAACATTTTAAGGTAGCTTACCAATACTTTGCCAGGGTTGTCCCTACTCATGGTGATGACATTTTTGAAGACAGTGATGGTGACTGTCTTTGTGTAAGACACTGCCGTGTTCCTTCCCCTATTCTGATTCTTTACAAGCACCTCAAAAGGTGCCAGAGATATGTCGTCTTTGCTGACCAATTTGGAGAGAACGTAAGTACACGTTCCCTGGAAGTCGAACTTCTTGCCATCAAACGTGCGGTAGTGGGGGTCGCCTGAACCTTGGCAAGTGGCATAAGATGTTGGGTAGCAATCTCTCTTACCACCACGCAGGCCACACATCTCTGATTTCTTACATGCTGTTGCTTTGCATTCTACCTTGGCTGTTCCCGGATTGCATTCACACTGCTTTGTGCATTTGTCATCTTCCCAGAACTTCATTCCAGACGGGTAGTATCGTCCTTCATAAGAGCAGCCACAGCTCTCCTTGGAGACGCATTTGTCTCCGCTGAGGACAAAGCCCTTCTTGCATTGACAGGTCTCCACACAGGGTTCCTTGCACTTTGCTTCGGCATCTAGATCTGAACAAGAGGCAGGGCAAGCTGTGCCACACGCCTCATAGTAGCTGTTTGACGGACATTCCAGTGCTGCAAATGTGAAATGAGAAAATATATTGAAATAATAGTGAAAAGTGCAATCTAAAAATCTTGATGAAATGTTTGGAGAGAGGAAAACTCACGGCATCCAGCGATTGTCCTCCACTCAGGGCTAATTTTGACCCCCTCTGCCAAACAGGCGTCATCATAGCTTTTCATGTTCTCACAGAGGAACTGGTAGATGCCTTTATTGATGCAGATGTCATAGACACAGTTGTCCATGAACATGCCTGGGTCCAGGACCTTGTGGCAGCTGGCGAATGGGCCATCTTTTTTGGCCAAGAGACCACATAACTTCTCTCCTTTGTATTTCTGTTGGAGAGCTGGACTGCAGCTAGGACATTCCCCTAGGCAGTCATCATGACAGAACAAGTCGCCGTCTTCAGTTCTCCAGCTCTGGGCAAACTTCACCACTGTGGGTTCCTTGTTACCTTTGGGGTTAGTGAACTCGTCGTTGCGATCCCCGTTGTAGTTCCCACAGAGCCCACCCAGGGTGCGGAAATAGCTGCTGGGGGCAGTGATGTAGAACTTCATGTTCCAGTCGTACATAACCTTCAGGCCAAAGTTTGTCTTCAGAACAGCATAGCTGCCACTATGCACCACCGTTAGGTTTCCCCCGGCTAGGGTCACAGGCAGGTAGACGTTCTCACCATTCACCTAAGAAAATATCAATGAGCATATGGAAAAACCACTCAGTTCACCTCGTGAATTGACCAAATTTACCATGGAACTGACCCCAATCCTGATAATTTAACTCTGGTCTTTTGTTACTTACCTCAACCTTCCCTTTATGCGTGCTGATCACAACAGTCAGCCCATAGACCGTGACTGAGACTTTCTTTACGAAAGACACCCTCTTGTTCCCTCTGTGGTTGTTCTTGGTCAGGACAATGAACGGGATGAGGCCAGGTTCAGATTTAACAACCGTGGCCATGACGTAAGAGCATGTGCCCTGGAAGTAAAACCGCTCCCCATCAAAGGTGAGGTAGTGGGGGTCGCCCACAGCCCTGCACGTTGCTTTGGAGATGTGGACACAAACCCCCTTTGTACATTCTTCCTTTTCTCTGCATTTGACGTTCTCACAAGGATCTGGTGGTGGAGTGGGTGGTGCAGTGCCTGAGGGAGTACAGAAGCAACTTTCAAGATGAACACTAGTTTTCATGCAGTGCATTTGTTGTGTTGTGTTGCGTTTTGTTTTGTTTTATTGTGTTGCATTGCATTGCGATGTGTTGCATTGCATTGTGTTGTCTAAGAGTTGTCCCCTTCAACAGGGTGAGTGTCGAGGGGCAGTTGATAGGCCAGTTAAGTGGATGTGTCAATTAAATAGCGTACCTTTGGAACATACTCCTGTTGTAGCGTAGCCGTCTCTTGACATGCCACCATAAACGTAAACAGCCATGAGGAAGTCGCCTTTGATGGAGAAATGCTGTTGCTGCTCTCCCAATGGAGCATTAACCCACATGTACTTAGGGTCTGAGATTAATGATGTCCATTGGAGAGATTTCACACATTTATTTTTCTCACAGACTTTAACGGTGTTGATCCCTTCCCCCTCGGAGACGATGACCAATGTGCTCTCGAACTTGCTCTGTGTGTCCACTGACCACTCGTTGGCCAGATCAGACATTGGGAGGATGTTGGTGAGGAACGGATCGTAGGGCTTGTTGTTGCTGAAGTACATCACCATTACCTTTTTATCACTTTTGATGATCAGCGGATATTTGGGTTGGACAGAAACCACATACGCCTGCCCCGCATTCAACTCCTTAGTAGTGGATACCTTTCCCTCAAAGATCTTCACTAGAGTGTTGTCCTCTGAGGCTACAAAGTTGACAAAGTCTGTTGAATGTGTCATGTGCATGGAAGGAACCAGGTAATTGGTGGAAAGGCTCTGTACTGGTAGCAGTTGTTCATATACGTGATTGCAGCAGCCTCCATCTGCGACGCACTCGTGTCCCCCCAGGACCGCCACAGGGTGCTTGGCTTTGACCCTGGTCCCAGTGAAAGTGGTGTAGCTTTGGTAGAGGTAGATCTGGTATGGGTCCATGGTAACAATCACCGCCTGTCTTTGCTTCCAGGAATCCATACCACTGAGATCCATGTTGGAGAAAGGGATGATCGTGATCTTGTTGGGCTCTTTGCCGTTGACAATAGACACAAGCTTGTGCATGTTGCTTGGACCCTCCTCGGGGGTGAAGACCACATAGTCAGTACCCAGCTGGTCAGTTGGGAAGACCACACTACTGTCTCCGATCGAGAACTTGTAGTTGAAGGCCACCACTGAGATGTCAGAGTTGGAGGTGACCTGCACTGTTTTGGTGGAAGCTCCTGGACCCCCAATTTCAGCGTTACCAGGTATGGCAATCCATTTGGTGTTCTGTTTCTCTATTTTCACCGAGGTGGAGAAGCCAATTGCATTGACCCGAATTTGAACAACGGCTGGATAATCCTGTGTGGTTATGGCCAGTTGAAGACTCTGATCATCATGGTAGCTCAGCAAATAGTTAGGCATAAAGGCAGTAATGAACTCCCGCCCCACTGGGCATGATCCATTGACCACTAAACATAAAGGAAGAAAGAACATTTTACAGATGAGCACCTGCATTCTTTTCGCAACCATTTGAGTATCAGTTTTATAATTAAAAGGTATACTATAGCTTAAATACAGTACAATTATCTTGCTCCGACTGCTCTTGTTGAATTCACTGACTGTCAAGAGTAAATTTAGTAAGGCACAAAATCATTTGTTTTTGCTTGAATGACATGATCGTATACAAATGTAAATGATGTGTACATAACAATACACATGTCGCTTCCCCCTGCATCGCTATATAACCAGTGTTACATGTCTATAATACAGTGTGCCCTACAGAACAAACAACAGAAATGTCCTATCTAATTAGAGGAGGCTAGAAAGCTTTAATTTGCCAAGCTACTCTATTTATGTTTCCCCATAATGTTTGATAATAATAAATGATCAACTTGTTCAATTCTGGTAGTAATTACATGACATGGAATATTGAAAGGTAAACTGTGATTCTTACTTGTGAATAGGGTGGCAGCCACACAAAGCAGGAAAGTCATTGTCCCCATGGCTGGAAACAGAAATGCAAAGTCAACAAATGATATGAAAATAATATATAAATGGATGTAAAAACAAAATCAGTTTTGTTTTAGATTAGATTATAGAGTAGCTACTGACAGGAGAGAAAACATATATAATTCATATTATACTTTAATTCATTCATATCCATCAATAAATTACATCAACAAAAATTGTTTAATTACTATGCATTAATACATTGTACATGTATCTATAAAGATAGGAAATCGTTTTTTTCAATTCACTTTCAGCTCCCTAATAATTTGGTCGTCGAATTACACTATTCACCATGTTTTCTAATCCAAAAGACTGATCTGATGTCCATACTTTACCTGTTGGTGGGACCATGAAGGATATAACAGACAGGGAGGGATGAGAGGGTGTCTTATATTGTGAAGACAATGGGTAAAAAAAAAACACATCCTTGCCAAAATATTGAATTACCGTACTTATTAAGTCAACATAGCATATGCATGACTGTAATGCATATATTGACAACTTTGTGTCTGAGGTTTCCATCTAACCAAAACATTTACATATGCTTTTTCCTTATAAACAAAAGAAATTGGAAACGAACATCTGTTTCATACAATTTTACCTCAATCTACCTCAATACATATAAAATATCTTCTAATTTTATTGATTAATTAACCAGGTTTGTCCCATTTTGTCACGATCGTCTTGACGAGAAGTAGACCAATACGCAGCGTGTTGAGCGAACATGATTGACTTTATTACCGTCCGTGATAATAAGCACACTAAACAAAAACAATAAACGACTCGTGAAGTCCACGGTGACAAAGACCAACAAGGAACAAAAACCCACAAACACAAAGTGAAACACAGACAGTTAAATATGGCTCCCAATCAGAGACAACCAGCACACAGCTGACACTCGTTGCCTCTGATTGGGAGTCACTCAGTCAAACATAGAAAATGACGAACTAGAAACACCCAACATAGAAACAGAACACATAGAATGAACACACCCTGGCTCAACATATAGAGTCCCAGAGCCAGGGTGTGACACATTTAGATTTTGTAAGAGAGATCTGGTAAATAATATTGCTGAACATTTTTCATAGACTCATTTACTATGGTCTACTGACCTGATTTTTATTTTATTTTTGCAATAGAATATAACTTTTAAAAAGGTCCCACTTTATATTAAGTATCACATAATGGTAATATATCAGCATAATGTAACTAGTGTGGGTAGTTGTTACATAGTACTATCAACTATTATACCTTCTATAAGGCATGTAAACCATGTCATTATTATATGGTTTTTAGCATCACTGATGTAAATAAACATTTGTTCATAATTGACTTGGCCGGTTAAATAAAGGTTAAATAAAAATGTAATACAAATTGGGACCATATAAAATAACAATGTACTTTCAAATTATTCAAAATATCATACGTTTTTAATTTATTGTTTTATGGCATTATTTAAACATGGGTTACAATAAGTGCTCATCACTTATACATGGATGTTTTAAGTGTATGTCAATTGAAGATGTTTTAAGTGTATGTCAATAGAACATGTTTTAAGTGTATGTCAATAGGACATGGGCGAGGAGAGCTTACACAAACAAACCAAACCATGGATACCATTACAGAAATCTTGATCTTGAAACAGGATATGATAGCCACATCCCAGTTAACAAAGAAAACAATCTTTATTTACTGTGAGCTCAATCAAGAATAGGGTGACAGAGGTCTGAACAAGAATTAACTATGGACCCTTTTGAGGTTCCTATTAGTAACCTTTTCCTGTTGGGTTAATATACGGATTTACAAAACAAATATACTTAAGGTGGAGATGGATGTGTGTTGTATTTGTATATGTACCTTCTGTTGGTGGGTCAAGGTTTGTCGAGCATGTCTTGTTGCAACAACTTGTAACAACTATTTGTTGATGTGCTAGTTGAACAGTTGCTTTTCAAAATGCCTGCGTTGCAGCAACAGTAAATTGTTAATGTAATGAACTGTCTCACAGAGTGACTCCAAGTGCCATGTAATGAAATTTGAAATATTTCTGTAATATGCCCCAGACATGGCAGTTACATCCACCTCATCGTGTAGCATAAACTTTTCAACCAGCCCAACTGTAAGGTGGATACTAGTTTCCCCACAGTTGTTGTTACCATTCCACCTTTGACAATAACATTGGACAAAATGTATGTCCATAAATATCTATTAAGAGTAAACATACTCTACATTTCAGATATGTAAACACATTATGTGATCTGACTGTTTACTGTTGACTAGCATACTGTAGCTGTTATGGGGTTGCAAGCCTACGTCTCTCCACATTGTGAAGTTAGAGCAGCTCTTACCATCTAAAATGTGTGAGAGCAATAGTGAGAAAGTGTGGGTGTGGTGCTTAGTGCACACAGTTATGGTAATTCACTTGTCCCCTCATGCAAATCTTATGAGAAAAGTCATCCTTACAGTGGGTATCATAAGTATTCACCAGCCTTGGATTTTTTTCACATTTGTTGCGTTACAAAGTGGGATTGAAATAGATTTAATTTCAATTTTTTTTAAATTGATCTACACAAAATACTCCATAATGTCAAAATGAAAAGAAAATTCTACAAATGTGTACAAATTAGTAAAACATAAACAACAAAAATATATACTGAACAAAAATATAAACGCAATATGCAACAATTTCAATGATTGTAGTGAGTTACAGTTCATGTAAGGAAATCAGTCAATTGAAATGAATGAATTAGGCCCTAATCTATGGATTTCACATGACTGGGCAGGGGCACACCTGTCAGGTGGATGGATTATCTTTTCAAAGGAGAAATGTTCACTAACAGGGATGTAATCACATTTGTGCACAAAATGTGAGAAAAGTAAGCTTTTTGTACGTTTGGAAAAAATTCTGGAATCTTTTATTACAGCTCATGAAACATGGGACCATCACTTTACATGTTGCGTTTATATTTTTGTTCAGTATAGTTGCTGCATAAGTATTCACCACCTTTGTTTAGGAATGCTTAAATTAGTTCAGGAGTAAAATGTGGCTTACTAAATCAAATAAGAAGTTATATGGACTCACCCGTCCCCCACACATGTAACATCTGTAAGGTCCCTCAGTCAAGTATTGAATTTAAAGCACAAATTCAACAACAAAGACCAGGGAGATTTTTGAAAGCCTCATAAAGAAGGGCAGTGATTGGTAGATGCGGAACGATAACACATCAGACATTTAATATCACTTTAAGCATGGTCAAGTAAAGAATTACACTGTGGATGATGTATTAAATCACCAAGATACATCAAAGATACAGTCGTCCTTCTGTACTGAGCTGAAGGACAGGAAGGAAACTGCTCAGGGATGTCACCATGAGGCCATTGGTGTTCTTAAAACAGCTCTGGAGTTCAATGGCTGTGATGGGAAAAAACTGAAGATGGATCAACAAGATTGTAGTGACTCCAAAATAATGACCTAAATAAGTGAAAAGAAGCATACACATATACAGAATACAAATATTCCAAAACATGCATCCCTTACGCAACAAGACACTAAAGTAATACTGAAGAAAAAAACACGACAAAGGAATACACTTTTTGGCCTTAATGCAAAGCCTTATGTTTTGGGGAACTCCAACACAACACATCACTGAGTAACTGCCTCCTTATTTTCAAGCATGTTGGTGGCTGCATCATGATATGGGTATGCTTGATATCGGCAAAGACTGGGGAGTTTTTCATGATAAAAAGAAACTGGATGGAGCTAAGCACAGGCAAAAATCCTAGAGGACAACCTGCTTCAGTCTGCTTTACACCAGAACATAACCTACAACACAAGGCCAAATCTACACTGGAGTTGCTTACCATGAAGACAGAGAATGTTCCTGAGTGGCCAAGTTACAGTTTTAACTTAAATCTGCTTGAAAATCTATGGTAAGACTTGAAAATTGCTGTCTAGCCATGATACCCAACATCTTGACAGAGCTTGAAGAATTTTGAAAAGAATAATGGGCAAATATTGCACAATCCAGTGTGTGCAAAGCTCTTAGAGACTTACCCAAGAAGACTCACAGCTGTAATCGCTGCCAAAGGCGTTTCTTACATGTATTGACTCGGGGGTCAATACTTATCAAATTAAGGTATATTAGTGTTTTATTTTTCATTCATATTTAAAAAATCTTAGAATTTCTTCCACTTTGACATTAGAGCGTTTTGTTTAGATCAGTGAAAATAAATAAATAAATCCATTTTAATCCCAACTTTGTAACACAATACAATAAGAAGAAACCCAAAGGGGGTGAATACTTATCTTTTCCCTGTTTTCCATATCTGACTAACAAGAAGTATTTATAAAAAAAATACAAGTAGGCTGGATTACATAGGGTTGCAGAGAGAGTAGCAAAGTCTACTGCCAGCAGTACTGTATAATACTTTACCAAGAGGGAGTGGAAATGTTTCAGAAGGCAGCAACACACACCTATATTTGTGACATTGAAACACAGTGCTGTAAAAGCTTTGACTTCTCAAACAAGTTTAGATTTTTCAAGTCTCTGTTTCGTGAGCCTCATCTTGTCCTGTTGTATCATCACGTGGGACCATCTGGAGTTATTGTGTTTCAGGCTTGTGTCTTCAGTGCAAAATGGGTGACATTGCTAATGCTGCCAAGAGAACTATCCCTAATGATACCAAAGCCGGTCTGCCCCTGGTTGCAAGAGCCACCTCACAGCATTCTGTAAGAGGAAGAGAAGAAAAGGTACTTCAGCTTCACCTCCCAAATACCTGTTCCTCTAGTAGTACTGCCTGGTCACTGAACCTTTCATTGAGGTCATTGTGAACAGTTCCTGTCATGGGAAGTTGCACTCTGCAATGTGTTATTCTTGCATGCAGTAAATCAATACACAATGCTCATATGACTCAATTGCCCTCTTGAAGTGAAATGTCAAATACTTGTTTGACTACAAATTTTGTCTAGAATTCATACAGTGGCTTGCAAAAGTATTCACCCCCCTTGGCATTTTTCCTATTTTGTTGCCTTACAACCTGGATTTAAAATGGATTTTTGGGAGGTTTGTATCATTTGATTTACACAACATGCCTACCACTTTGAAGATGCAAAAAAATTTTTTTTGTGAAACAAACAAGAAATAAGACAAAAAAACAGAAAACTTGAGCGTGCATAACTATTCACCCCCCAAAGTCAATACTTTGTAGAGCCACCTTTTGCAGCAATTACAGCTGAAAGTCTCTTGGGGTATGTCTCTATAAGCTTGGCACATCTAACCGCATGGATTTTTGCCCATTCTCCAAGGCAAAACGGCTCCAGCTCCTTCAAGTTGGATGGGTTCCGCTGGTGTACAGCAATCTTTAAGTCATACCACAGATTCTCAATTGGATTGAGGTCTGGGCTTTGACTAGGCCCTTCCAAGACATTTAAATGTTTCCCCTTAAACCACTCGAGTGTTGCTTTAGCAGTATGCTTAGGGTCATTGTCCTGCTGGAAGGTGAACCTCCGTCCCAGTCTCAAATCTCTGGAAGACTGAAACAGGTTTCCCTCAAGAATTTCCCTGTATTTAGCGTCATCCATCATTCCTTCAATTCTGACTAGTTTCCCAGTCCCTGCCGATGAAAAACATCCCCACAGCATGATGCTGCCACCACCATGCTTCACTGTGGGGATGGTGTTCTCGGGATGATGAGAGGTGTTGGGTTTGCGCCAGACATAGTGCTTTCCTTGATGGCCAAAAAGCTCAATTTTAGTCATCTGACCAGAGTACCTTCTTCCATATGTTTGGGGAGTCTCCCACATGCCTTTTGGTGAACATCAAACGTGTTTGCTTATTTTTTTATTTAAGCAATGGCTTTTTTCTGGTCACTCTTCCGTAAAGCCCAACTCTGTGGAGTGTACGGCTTAAAGTAATCCTATGGACAGATACTCCAATCTCCGCTGTGGAGCTTTGCTGCTCCTTCAGGGTTATCTTTGGTCTCTTTGTTGCCTCTCTGATTAATGCCCTCATTGCCTGGTCCGTGAGTTTTGGTGGGCGGCCCTCTCTTGGATTTAATGGTGCTCCGTGGGATGTTCAAAGTTTCGGATATTTTTTATAACCCAACCCTGATCTGTACTTCTCCACAAATTTGTCCCTGACCTGTTTGGAGAGCTCATTGGTCTTCATGGTGCCGCTTGCTTGGTGGTGCCCCTTGCTTAGTGGTGCCTTTCAGAACAGGTGTATATATACTGAGATCATGTTACAGGTCATGTGACACTTAGATTGCACACAGTTAGACTTTATTTAACTAATTATGTGACTTCTGAAGGTAATTGGTTGCGGCAGATCTTATTTAGGGGCTTCATAGCAAAGGGGGTGAATACACCACTTTTCCGTTATTTATTTTGTAGAATTTTTTGAAACATGTTATTTTTTCATTTCACTTCACCAATTTGGACTATTTTGTGTATGTCCATTACATGAAATACAAATAAAAATCCATTTAAATTACAGGTTGTAATGCAACAAAATAGGAAAAACGCCAAGGGGGATGAATACTTTTGCAAGGTACTGTACATTGCAGAATTTGTGTAAGAGTAACACACTATCTCTTGTCAGGGTTTAGCCCTTAGTGATTATGCAATGGTTTAATATTTCATCACTAAATCAGTGATCCATACTTGGTCACATTGCTCTACCCCTAAACCTGTTGGTAGGTCACAACTTTACCTGGGAGTGGGTGGAGGATGAGCGAGCGGGTGAAGCTTTGATTGAGAACCTCCAGTCTTATTTCAACAATGATGGTGAGTGTACTGTTTGGCCTGACCTCCATTGACCTGTGGACCTCATAGCGCCCCCTGCTTCCAGGCCGATACGGCTGTGGCTCTGATTGGAGATGTCTCCTCCAATGGAGTCCGTCCACCACACATCAGGCTGGGGGAAACCCTGGGGGGAGTTGAGGGTGATGACGAAGCTGTCACAGGATGACTGTACAGAGAGCTGGGGCTCCTTGATGGGGGCTAGGGGTAAACAAAAACAACAACAATACTCACATTAAACTCTTAACATAGGATAATTCTGACTGCAAAAGGCTTTAGGATGACTATAAATTGATTTTATAGATGACTATAAATTGGCTTTATAGATGACTATAAATTGATCCCCCATAGATGCAAGATTTCAAAACAATCTGAATGGACAAAAATACATACTCTCTAACCTGCCAATCTGAATGGACAAAAATACATACTCTCTAACCTGCCACTAAAAGTAGTAGCTTTTCCTGGGTGCTTCCCTGTTCATCTGTCACATCACAGGTGTATTGGCCCTGGTCACTCGGCTGCACACCACTCAGTCTAAGTGAGGCATTTCCCACAGCGAGCTGGTCTTCGAACAGATGAGTTTGAAGACATGCATGGCTATACTTGTTTCAGTCAGAAGTACCAATATTCATGATAACTGATGAAGTAGGCCTATTTAAACTTTATCAGTTATATGTGGATGAAAAGTATCAAGAGGTTGGCTAACTAAAGCCTTTTTCACATTGGCAGTTTGAAGTGACTCAAATAAAAAAAAAATTGCATATCCGATTCGAAACTGTTCTTTTTCTTGCAGTCTGAACAGCCAAAAAGCACATGGAATCAGATATTTCAAGCCACGTTTCAAACCACCGTCGTAGATGGTTCGAAGTCAGATACAAATCAGATTCCTGGCCATGCGACTTTAAATACAGCATTGCGATAGCTTATATCCTACCTACATCTTTTGATTACTGATGCACGTTTCTGACTGTCTGCCTGGTGGCCGAGAGACCTACCTATGCCTGGCTGTGCCCCTCCCATCTCTCTCTTTCCCTTGCTACCTCGCTCTTTCTTCGCTGCAAAAGATGCAAGAGTTTGTGTTCTCGAAAGTAAACTACAACAACTACACTGAACAAAAATATAAACGCAACATGTAAAGTGTTGGTCCAATGTTTCATGAGCTGAAATAAAAGATCCCAGAAATGTTCCATATGCACAAAAAGCTTATTTCACTAAAATGTTGTTCACAAATTTGTTTACATCCATGTTAGTGATCATTTCTCCTTTGCCAAGATAATCCATCCTCCTGACAGGTGTGACATACTGTATCAAGAAGCTGATTAAACAGCATAATAATTACACAGGTGCACCTTGTGCTGGGGACAATTAAAGGCCACTCTAAATTATGCCGTTTTGTCACACTACACAATGCCACAGATGTCTCAAGTTTTGAGGGAGCGTGCAATTGGCATTCTGACTGCAGGAGTATCCACCAGAGCTGTTGCCAAATAATTGTATGTTAATTTCTCAACCATAAGGCATAAGTCCTGTGTAGCTCAGTTGGTAGAGCATGGTGTTTGCAACGCCAGGGTTGTGGGTTCGATTCCCACGGGGGGACAGTATGAAAAGAAAATGTATGCACTGTAAGTCACTCTGGATAAGAGCATCTACTAAAATGTAAAATGTATAAGCTATGGACAACGAACACATTGGCATTTTATCGATGGCAATTTGAATGCACAGAGATACCGTGACGAGATCCTGTGGCCCATTGTCATGCCATTCTTCCGCCGCCATCACCTCATGTTTCAGAATGATAATGCACGGCCCCATGTCACAAGGATATGTACACAATTCCTGGAAGCTGTCCCAGTTCTTCCATGGCTTGCATACTCACCACACATAGAGCATGTTTGGGATGCTCTGGATTGAGGTGTACAACAGTGTGTTCCAGTTCCTGCCAATATCCAGAAACTTCGCACAGCCATTGAAGAGGAGTGGAACGACATTCCACAGGCCACAATCAACAGCCTAATCAACTTTATGCAAAGGAGATGTGTCGCACTGCATGAGGAAAATGGTGGTCACACCAGTTATGAGGGGTTTTCTGATCCACGCCCCTACCTTTTTTTTTTTTAAGGTATCTGTGACCAACAGATGCATATCTGTATTCCCAGTCATGTGAAATCGATTAAGGCCTAATGAATTTATTTCAATTAACAGATTTCCTTATATGAACCGTAACAGTAAAATCTTTGAAATTGTAGCATGTTGCATTTATATTTTTGTTCAATATAATTTGAGTGTACCAGATTTACTTTTACTATGTTACGTCTAGTCTATGCAGGCTGCGTGGTGGCCCAACACCATAAGACATTTTATAATGGTGTTTCCTTTATTTCGACACTAGAACAGGTCACTAGCGGCTGTTCGAGCTAGGTCAGTGGTTCCCAAACTAGAGGTCACGACCCTGATATGAAAATTGGGTCACGGGAGAATTTCCAAAATGCTGGAGAAAAAACACACAAAAAATATACATACATTATAATATCATGTTTGTCTCTCAAAATCATTGTATTGTGATTAACCTTAAAAATGAAAATTATTGTAATCTAAAAGTTAAAAGTCAACCAGAGACTGCTCTTAGATCATGGGAAAAGGGCACACTTGACCGTTGAACTTGAATCATTCCCATGGTGAATGGCTAAGCCTGCTACGCTATAAAACCACAAGCTATTGCAGAGACTTTGATATTACCGGCTGCAACTGATACCCTATATGACCAAAAGTATGTGGACACCTGCTCGTTGAACATCTCATTCCAAAATCATGGGCATTAATATGGAGTTGGTCCCCCCTTTGCTGCTATAACAGCCTCCACTCTAAAGGGAAGGCTTTCCACTAGATGTTGGAACATTGATGCGGGGACTTGCTTCCATTCAGCCACAAGAGCATTAGTGAGGTCGGGCACTGATGTTGGGAGATTAGGCCTGGCTCGCAGTCGGCATTCCAATTCATCCCAAAGGTGTTCGATGGGGTTGAGGTCAGGTCTCTGTGAAGGCCAGTCAAGTTCTTCCACACAGATCTCGACAAACCATTTCTGTATGGACCTCGCTTTGTGTATGGGGTAATTGTCATGCTGAAACAGGAAAGGGCCTTCCCCAAACTGTTGCCACAAAGTTGGAAGCACAGAATCGTCTAGAATGTCATTGTATGCTGTAGCGTTAAGATTTCTCTTCACTGGAACTAAGGGGCCTAGCCCGAACCATGAAAAACAGCCCCAGACCATTATTCCTCCTCCACTAAACTTTACAGTTGGCAATATGCATTGGGGCAGGTAGCGTTCTCCTGGCATCCGCAAAACCCAGATTTGTCCGTCGGACTGCCAGATGGTGAAGCGTGATTCATCACTCCAGGGAACGCGTTTCCACTGCTCCAGAGTCCAATGGCGGCGAGCTTTACACCACTCCAGCCGACGCTTTGATTGTGGCTGCTCGGCCATAGAAACCCATTTCATGAAGCTCCCGACGAACAGTTCTTATGCTGACGTTGCTTCCAGAGGCAGTTTGGAACTCGGCAGTGAGTGTTGCAACCGAGGACAGACGATTTTTACGCACTTCAGCACTCGGCGGTCCCGTTCTGTGAGCTTGTGTGGCCTACCACTTTGTTGCTCCCAGAGCCGTTGTTGCTCCTAGATGTTTCCGCTTCACAATAACAGCACTTACAGTTGACTTGGGCAGCTCTAGCAGGGCAGAAATTTGACGAACTGACTTGTTGTAAAGTTGGCATCCTATGACGGTGCCATGTTGAAAGTCACTGAGCTCTTCAGTAAGGCCATTCTACTGCCAATGTATGTCTATGGAGATTGCATGGCTGTGTGCTCAATTTTATACACCTGTTAGCAACGGGTGTGGCTGAAATAGCCAAATCCAATCATTTGAAGGGGTGTCCACATACTTATATATAGTGTATTTGGGAAACGGAACGAACTGAATGCAAGCATGCCGGGGAAATACAAAAAAAATCTACAGAAGACTGACCGACTCAGTGAAATCCGTTTGACTGTGATCCTGGCTCTGTTGACATGCGGTAAGTGAAATCGAAAAGCTGATCGAGCTGTCATGTGACCGAATGCTGCACACAACTCATTCACAGGTCACTATGGAGGAGTTTGGTTCCTGACTGAAAGGGAATACTGTGCCGTCTCCCTCCGAGCATTAAAACTCATGGTACGCGGATTCAGTGCTCGCGTCTGCATTAAAAACAAATATCGATCCAGGTTGGATGTGACAGGAGATGAGGTGAGCACTGTCGACCACGCCCCCTGACTTTGAGAATCTCAGAAGTGACATGCATCAAGCACACTCATCTCATTAGTGGTGGTGATAACCTAAATTATGCCAGACTAACTTGCAATTGACTGTCATAGCCCCACATTAAAAGTATATTATGGTGAGTTGAGAATACAATAAGAAATACTGTTAGAATGTTTTGCTATTGACTGCCATAGCCACAATTAAAAAAGTAAACATTGCCTGTTAGTTACATAATCTTTTTTCACATGGTTGGGGTAGTGCGAATTTTCAGATATTAAAATGTTTACAAATAAATAAATAAATACATGTTATTTATAAAGCCCTGTGGGACAACTGTGGAAGTAAAAAGTGATTTGCAGTAACCTGGCCTAGACCCCTACACAAACAGCAGCATGGAAAAACTCCCTAGAAGGAAGAAACATTTAGTACTGGGTAGAAGTACATATGCCCACATTAAAAAATACTATATTATACTATGGTATAAATACTATAGTATTACTATATTTATATACTATAGTAATCGATGTAGTGTTTTTGTGGACATTACTGTAGTACAGTGCATTCAAAAAGTATTCAGACCCCTTGACTTTTTACATATTTTGTTATGTTACAGCCTTATTCTAAAATGGATTTTTTTTCGATTGAACATCCTTGAGATGGTTCTAGAACTTGATTAGAGTCCACCTGTGTTAAATTCAATTGATTGGACATGATTTTGAAAGGCACACACCTGTCTATATAAAGGTCCCACAGTTGACAGTGCACGTCAGAGCAAAAACCAAGCCGTGAGGTCGAAGGAATTGTCTGTAGAGCTCCGAGACAGGATTGTGTCGAGGCACAGAACTGGGGTAGGGTACCAAAAAATGTCTGCAGCATTGAAGGTCTCCAAGAACACAGTGGCCTCCATCATTCTTAAATGGAAGACGTTTGGAATCACCAAGACTTTTCCTAGAGCTGGCAGCCCGGCCAAACTGAGCAATTGGGGGAGAAGGGCCTTGGTCAGGGAGGTTACCAAGAACCCGATGGTCACTTTGACAGAGCTCCAGAGATCCTCTGTGGAGATGGGAGAACCTTCCAGAAGGACAACCATCTCTGCAGCACTCCACCAATCAGGCCTTTATGGTAGTGGCCAGACGGAAGCCACTCTTCAGTCAAAGGCACATGACAGCCCACTTGGAGTTTGCCAAAAGGCACATAAAGGACTCTCAGACCATGAGAAACAAGATTCTCTGGTCTGGTGAAACCAAGATTGAACTCTTTGGCCTGAATGCCAAGGGTCACGTTTGGAGGAAACTTGGCACCATCCCTACGGTGAAGCATGGTGGTGGCAGCAGCATCATGCTGTGGGGATGTTTTTCAGCGGCAGGGACTGGGAGACTAGTCAGGATTGAGGGAAAGATGAACAGAGCAAAGTACAGAGAGATCCTTGATGAAAACCTGCTCCAGAGCGCTCAGGACCTCAGACTGGGGCGAAGGTTCACCTTCCAACAGGACAACGACCCTAAGCACACATCCAAGACAATGCAGGAGTGGCTTCGGGACAAGTCTGTTAAGGTCCTTGAGTGGCCCAGCCTGAACCCGGACTTGAACCTGATCGAACATCTCTGGAGAGACCTGAAAATAGCTGTCCAGCGACGCTCCCCATCCAACCTGACAGAGCTTGAGAGGATCTGCAGAGAAGAATGGGAGAAACTCTCCAAATACAAGTGTGCCAAGCTTGTAGCGTCACACCTAAGAAGACTCAAGGCTGTAATCACTGCCAAATATGCTTCAACAAAGTACTGAGTATAGGGTCTGAATACTTATGTAAATGTTATATCAGTTTTATTTATTTTTTAGCTAAAATTCCTAAAAACCTGTTTTTGCTTTGTCATTGTTGTTTGTAGATTGATGAGGGGAAAAAACAATTGAATCCATTTTAGAATAAGGCTGTAACATAACAAAATGTGGAAAAAGTCAAGGGGTCTGAATACTTTCCGAATGCACTGTATATTGTAATATTTACTGTAATGTTTTGCGGCCATTACTGTAGTGTTTTTACGGACATTACTGTAGTATATTGTAGAATTTAATGTCGTGTTTTTGCAGACATTACTGTTGTATTTACTACATTGTTTTTGTTGTATTATCTTTGACCTAGAAGTGGAAACCTACTGGAAAACTATTAAAATAACACATTTCCCATAACCTGTAAGGAGGTAGGATTGGGTCTGAACAGCACATCTACTCTTTTCTATAACTTATAGGGAACACAATATGTGGTCTATACTTGGCATGTATGTTTCTCACTCATGGGTGGCAAAATTGGAATATTGGGTAGGAAAATATAGTATATGCAAATGAAATATTAGTATATAGATTTTGTATGTGGGTGACCATCCAGCTAGGCCAGACAAGGATATTTGTGGTGTGCAGCTCCCATTCCTCGTATGATGTTGTGTTAGTCTGAGTTCTGTAAGGAATGTGTCAACTGTATTGTGTTGAACTTTGTGTATAATGTATTGTAGTGTAGTTCTGACTTTCCAAAATGATTTTCCATGAAAATGGACTTTAGTATAAAAGGCTGTCCTCCCTTTATGTTTTCATCTATGTAAACAAGCAATGATAATTGCTCTGGCATGGACTGAAGGTCATACTATTCTTCTGTTTTCTTATCCTTTTAGGTCTCCTGGTCAGACCCCTTCCTGGATAACAGGAGCACCAATCCCAGCAGAATTAGCAGCAGGGGATACATCAACAATCTGCTCCTCTGCTCAGCAGGCATCACACAGCACACTGTGGAAGAGAGGAGAAGAAAGGAGCACCCAACCTCAGTCACTGAAATAAGCAACGTTTCCCTCTATATCTGACTAGTACTTTATCATGAACTGTAGTAGAGTATTGTGAACAACACTCACAGCTTGCTCTGGAGAAGGGCATGGTCAAAGGGGGGTGGATGTGGTGGTGGAGCCAGCTGCAGTCAGCTTAGCTTCGCACAATAACATCACCATCTCTGAGACCTGCAGCTCCCCCGAAACATGTTGTGCAAGTATGGTATCACATCTCGATGGACTGTGTTAGGTACATACTGTACCAGAAGAATAAAACACATGGATGATCAATAATCCAAAATATCCAATCGTAAAAATAACTCTATATAAAAGATCTGAAAACAACATTGTAGTCAAAGAACAAACCTTGGAAACCTGATCTTTTACCTGGTGGTGGGTGGAGTGTGAGAGACTTGGTGAAACTCTGGTCCAGGACCCTCAGTTTCAGATCTGCTGTAACAGTCAGAGTGCTGTTCAGCCTCAGGGTCACCTCACTCTCCAGCTCATAGAACCCCCTGCTGTCCAACTCCATAGTGGTGTTACTGCCCATCACACCTCCTCACAGTACCTCTGGCTGGGGAAACCCCTGAGAGGCAAGGAGGGTGACAACAAAGCCGTCACAAGTGGCTTGGACGGACATCCTGGGCTCATCATAAGGGGCTGTTTTGAAATATTATATTATACTTTTGTAGGTGCAGTTATCATTTACACTACACAATATAGATGCAGCAACAATGGAACTTACCTGCCACTAGAAGTTGCAGATTTTCCTTGGTGCTTCCCTGTTCATCTGTCACATGACAGGTGTATTGGCCCTGGTCACTCGGCTGCACACCACTCAGTCTAAGTGAGGCATTTCCCACAGTGAGCTGGTCTTCAAATAGATGAGTGCGTCCCTTGTAAACAACACTGTCTTTCCAGCTGATCTTTCCCATAATAATAGCTGTGGACCACCTCGGATTCTCCACGCTGCCAGTTGACGATCAGGTATTTGAGGTTCAGGTTTTTAGACGGAGGGAAAGAGCAGCTAAGGGTGATGTCACTGCCTACCTCCTTATTTTCAAACATGGTGGTGGCTGCATCATCAATCAATCAAATGTATTTATAAAGCCCTTTTTACATCAGCAGATGTCACAAAGTGACATACAGAAACCCAGCCTAAAAACCCAAACAGCAAGCAATGCAGATGTTGAAGCATGGTATGGATATGCTTGACATCAAAGACTGGGGAGTTTTTCAGGATGAAAAGAAACGTGATGGAGCTAAGCACAGGCAAAATCTTTGAGGAAAACCTGCTTCACACCAGACAATGGGAGAGGAATTCACCTTTCAGCAGGACAATAACCTCCAACACAAAGCCAAATATAAACTGGAGTTGCTTACCAAGAAGACAGTGAATGTTCCTGAGTGGCCAAGTTACAGTTTTGACTTAAATCTGCTCTTATGAGACTTACCCAAAAAGAGTCACAGCTGTAATGGCTGCCAACGGTGTTTCTAACATGTATTGACTCAGGGGGTGAATACTTATCTAATCTAATGAAGGTACATTACTGTTCTATTTTTCATTCATCTTCAAAAAAAATTTTGAATTTTCCTTCCACTTCGACAGAGTATTTCGTGTAGATCACTGACAAAATAAAATAAAAATTAATCCCACTTTGTAACACAATAAAATGAAGAAATCCAAGGAGGGTGTAGACTTTCTATAAGCACATATGTTTACCTGGGCTTATTTAGGCATTTATTATTTGTTTTGTTCAAACAGTGTTGAATATGTATTAAACAAATAAGACTTGAGGTCTGCACACTAATGCACTAATCAATGTACACCTGTGATCATTGATGAGGGATCCCATTTATTTAAGAATTACTAAAAGTTGTAAAACTTTGACATAGGACCTACCACTTGTCCAACTTGCTACATTTGCACACACTGTATATATATTTTCTGTTGTATTTTTTTTTTACTTTATGTTTTTTTACCCCATATGTAACTCTGTGTTGTTGTTTTTATCGCACTACTATGCTTTATCTTGGCCAGGTCGCAGTTGTAAATGAGAACTTGTTCTCAACTGGCTTACCTGGTTAAATAAAGGTGGAAAAAAAAAAAAAATACACACCATATGAAAACACTTCGATTTTACTTACTGATAATAAACGGTATGGAGACCACGTGCAACCTGAAAGACAAAGCGAGAGAGAGACACATGCTCTTTGAAATCGGCTTCTAATAATCCATGGACTGACTTTATCCTATATGATGCATTATAGAGCCTATTAAGCATGGGGATTCAATTATACATACACCCCTTCATTTCTAAACTTTGTTAAACATTTGAGTGAATGAATGAAACGTTAGCGCATACCCCATGTTGTGCAGGAAAGTCCCAACTTCTTCTTCTTCTTCTGCTTCTTCTTCTGTTGCTTTTATAAGGTGGTTGGCATCCAACTTTAATGGTGCATTACCGCCAACAACTGGACTGGAGTGTGGACCGTAGACATGAAAGGCATAAATCCTATCCATTAATCTTGTCTCCGTAAGGAAACGAAATACGCAAAGAAATACATCATGTGATGTTACATTAACAGTACAATTAAACTTGTCTCTTCAACACCATTACTCCTTGAATCTAATAGCAATCTCTCCCTTTCCCTCTCATAGTGCTGGAACTGAAAAAGAACGTGTTCCACTGTCTCCATCTCCTCCCGAAGGTGATCACACTTCCCAGTTGGATGTTTTCCTACCATTGTCAATGTGCGGTTCAGCCTTGTATGTCCCAGTATTTGCTTTGTTATTACACTTTCCTCCCTTCTTTCTCGACCTGAGGACCTCCCTGCCCACACCTTTTCCTGGATCTTATACAGGTGTCTTCCCTTTCCCTCCCTGTTCCACAATTGTTGCCATTTGTTTTTAACCACTGTTCTTATTAGTCCCTTGGCTTCTGCTTTTCTTATTGGCATTTCCATGTCAACATTAGGATGTTTGAGAGCCTGCTTGGAAAGAACATCCCTCCTCATTCCCCTCTACTCCCACATGAGCTGGCACCCAGAGGAACCTCACAAATACCCCGATATGTGTCTCAATCTAAACAAGCACTGCAAAATCTCATACAAGACATCTTGTCTGCTCTGTGACACAAATGAATTTAAGCTCATCAGTGCTGCACAGGAGTCAGAGCAGCTGACTACCCTGTTTGGCCTCACCTTCTCCATCCACTTTGCAGCCAATAGTATGGCCAGCAACTCCATTGTGTATACAGATACATGATCCGTTGCTCTTTTTGTCAATGCAACCTTAAACTGAGCAACACTAAAAGCTGCACCTATCGTCCCTGTTTTAGGGTCCTTAGATCCATCAGCGAATAAAGTACATTCAAGAAAGCATAGTACTGTGTTCTTAAATGTTCACTTACAATATTTACTGGATCTACTCATTCCTCACCAGCTCTTGCCCTCTCAAGCAACCCTAGGTCTATCATTGGCTGAGGGAGCAACCAAGGTGGGATAGCAGGAAGCACCACAGAAGGGCTGAACTTGTTCTCAAACAGTCCCATCTCTTTCGCCATGCCAATATCAATCCATCCGCAATGCATCACATTCAATATTTTCTTTCCTTTGAAAACTACTCTGTTAATATGCTCCACCCACGTCATTCAAGTGTCAAACCAGACCCCAAGGAACCTAAACACTCCCACCCTCTCTAGATTCCGCCCATACAGCTTCAGGCATATTTCCTTCCCAAACTTCCTTCTAGTAAAAAACAGTCTGTGTTTTCTCAACGGAGAACTTGAAGACCCAACTCTTCCTCCAACCCCCCATGATTTCCAGTTTGATAAGCAGACCTTCCTTCCACATCATATCATAGTCCTTCCGTATGTCCGACTCTAGGCACATTACAGGATCAATGGTTCCACTGCCTATCCTGAACCCACTTTGGTCTGATGACAATAGGCCTCTGCTCTCTAGGAAGTAAGTGAGCCTTTCTGTTACTATCCTTTCCATACGTGTACAGACAAGAGATGTCAACGCTATCGGCTTATAGCTTGATGGATTAGTAGGGTCTTTCCCTGGTGTCCATATCGGCACCACCACAGCCTGGTCCCTTCCTGACACACCTTATTGTAAGGGCCCAATAATTTCCCCAATTACAGTGTCACTAGTGGCTGGGGACTTTAATGCAGGGAAACTTAAGTCCATTTTACATAATTTCTACCAGCATGCTAAATGTGCAACTAGAAGAAAAAAAACTCTAGACCACCTTTTCAACACACAGAGACACGTACATAGCTCTCCCCCGCCCTCCATTTGGCAAATCTGACCATAATTATATCCCCCTGATTCCTGTTTACAAGCAAAAACTAAAGCAGGAAGCACCAGTGACTCGGTCAATAAAGAAGTGGTCAGATGACGCAGATGCTAAGCTACAGGACTGTTTTGCTAGCACAGACTGGAATATGTTCCGGGATTCTTCTGATGGCATTGAGGAGTACACCACATCAGTCACTGGCTTCATCAATAAGTGCATCGATGACGTCGTCCCCACAGTGACCGTACATACCCCAACCAGAAGCCATGGATTACAGGCAACATCCACACTGAGCTATCAAGCAGAGGCACTCTAACCCGGACGCTTATAAGAAATCCCGCTATGCCCTCCGACGAACCATCAAACAGGCAAAGCGTCAATAGAGGACTAAGTTTTAATCGTACTACACTGTCTCTGACGCTCATCAAATGTGGCAGGGCCTGCAAACTATTACAGACTACAAAGGGAGGCACAGCCGCAAGCTGCCCAGTGACACAAGCCTACCAGACAAGCTAAATTACTTCTATGCTCGCTTCGAGGCAAGCAACACTAAAGCATGCATGAGAGGATCAGCTGTACCTGACGACTGTGTGATCACGCTCTCCGTAGCCGATGTGAGTAAGACCTTTAAACAGGTCAACATTCACAAGGCCGCAGGGCCAGACGGCTTACCAGGATGTGTACTCTGAGCATGCGCTGACCAACTGGCAAGTGTCTTCACTGACATTTTCAGCCTGTCCCTGACTGAGTCTGTAATACCAACATGTTTCAAGCAGACCACCATAGTCCCTGTGCCCAAGAACACTAAGGTAACCTGCCTACATGACTACTACTATGAAGTGCTTTGAAAGGCTGGTCATGGCTCACATCAACACCATTATCCCAGAAACCCTAGACCCACTCAATTTGCATACCGCCCCAACAGATCCACAGATGATGCAATCTCTATTGCACTCCACACTGCCCTTTCACACCTGGACAAAAGGAACACCTACATGAAAATGCTATTCATTGACTACAGATCAGCGTTCAACACCATAGTGCCCTCAAAGCTCATCACTAAGCTAAGGACCCTGGGACTAAACACCTCCCTCTGCAACTGGATCCTGGACTTCCTGACGGGCCGCCCCCAGGTGGTAAGGGTAGGTAATAACACATCTGCCACGCTGATGCTCAACACGGGGGCCCCTCAGGAGTGTGTGCTCAGTCCCCTCCTGTACTCCCTGTTCACCCATGACTGCATGGCCAGGCATGACTCCAACACCATCATTAAGTTTGCCGACGACACAACAGTGGTAGGCCTGATCACCGACAACGATGAGACAGCCTATATGGAGGAGGTCAGAGACCTGGCCATGTGGTGCCAGGATAACAACCTCTCCCTCAACGTGATCAAGACAAAGGAGATGATTGTGAACTACAGGAAAACGAGGAACAAGCACGCCCCCATTCTCATCGACGGGGCTGTAGTGGAGCAGGTTGAGTCCACATCACCAACAAACTATCATGGTCCAAACACACCAAGACAGTCGTGAAGAGGGCACGACAAAGTCTATTCCCCCTCAGGAGACTGAAAAGATTTAGCATGGGTCCTCAGATCCTCAAAAGGTTATACAGCTGCACCATCGAAAGCATCCTGACTGGTTGCATCACTGCCTGGAATGGCAACTGCTCAGTGCGTACGGCCCAGTACATCACTGGGGCAAAGCTTCCTGCCGTCCAGGACCTCTATACCAGGCGGTGTCAGAGGAAGGCCCTAAAAATTGACTCCAGCCACCCTAGTCATAGACTGCTCTCTCTGCTTCCGCACAGAGTTCCAAGTCTAGGTCCAAAAGGCTTCTTAACAGCTTCTACCCCCAAGCCATTAGACTCCTGAACAGCTAATCAAATGGCTACCCGGACTATTTGCATTGTCCCCACCCACCCCCTCTTTTACGCTGCTGCTACTCTCTATTTATTATCTATGCATAGTATGATCTACACCTGTTGTATTCAGCGCATGTGACAAATACAATTTGATTTGATTTGATTTGACTGAGATGAGCCATCATGATGTAAAACATCTAATCCTTCCCAGGAGATTTTAGCCCAGCTTTAGCTATTACTCTTTTCTTCTTAGACAATGTAAAAGGGAAACTCACTGCCTCCTCCACCACATCTCTGATCCAGACCCACAGATATTCTCCTCTGACCCTCTCTCTCCCACGCTGTCCCTTCTTTGCCAAATTATTTGAGCTGTGCACCTTCACAAATGCCTGGGCTAAAATCTCTGCCTTCTCCATGTTTCTCAATGCAACAGTTTTCCCCACTTTTCAGCATAGGGAGACCCCAATCTTGTCTGTCCCCACTCCCCACTCTTAATCATCCCCATACCTCTCCCACAGGGGTAGTCCTGCCTATGTTTCCTCAGAACCGGTGCCAATACTCCCTCTTTGCTGTCCTAATGGTCCTCCTTACTACTGCTTGTACTTACTGTATCAGGTGCTCGTAGTTATTGGACCTTTTCAACATCCTGAAAGAACCGTTCCTACTCTTTACAGCTTCTCTGCACTCTTCTGTCCACCAGGGAACTGCCTTTCTCCTTCTCCCCACTGTACCTGTGGGTATCACCTGCCTTGAGGCCTCTACTATTGCTCCTCTTACTACATCATTCACTGTTTCTATATCTGCACAGAGATCAACCTGAGACAGCCCCTGTTCATTCAACTCCTGAACTGCCCCCACTCCGCTTTCCCAAACATCCATCTCCTCAATCCATTTCCTGTTGTATCTTCCACTCTCATTCCTACAGTACATTAATGATAGGGTAGTGATCACTGCCCCCTGTAGGTTCCTCCCATACCTCTCAACTACATCTGCCTGCCATTGAACTCGAGAACTTCCAGTTACTGGGTCAATCCTGGTTCCCCAGCCATCATTAAGGCACATAAGCCCTTTCTCATCCAGTAGTTCCTCAAACACTTGTCCATTTACATCAGTCCAAAACTCCCCAGAGCATACTGTGGGCATTCAAATCCTCACACCACATCACCCATCTCCTATCTTGACCTTTTACACTCCCAAGGGCAATCAACTCTAGTCTCTAACACGGGTTGTAACAGTTCACTATAACCAGATTCCCTCCTCCCAACCACACTTCTACCACTACATACTCATGCTCAACTCTCTCTCCCACAAGCCTATATGGGATCCCCCACTTTATAAAGGTAGCACACCCTCCCCCTGCCACCCTATCTCTACGGACTACAACTTAACCTTGTATTACAAAATGTAGAGTCGTTTAAGCCATGTCTACTGGAGACATATCACATCTGGTTTAGCTGGTAAATCCTCAAGAAACAGTTTGAACTCTTGCCCATTGGCTATCAAACTTCTCGCATTCCATTGGAGGATAACACCATTATAAAATTAACCAAGACATGATTCCTGGCTGGACTGATTCTCAATCTCAATGTCAGTGCTGTGATCACAAGATACTTCACTGCCTCTTCCACAACGATCTGTATTTTATTCTTAGATTGCTATTTTTCTGTGCAATTGATAGCTGCTGTTACAAATGTAATAATCTTTCTTATATCTACCATTCTTGTGGTCTCCCCCATTCTGCTCCCTACATCACGCCCAACCTGCATTCCGCTCTGTCCTGGAAGACCCGATCTTCTAGGTGCCCCGCTTGTCTCTGCGTGAACTACCTTCACTGCTTTGGAATATGAGATTTTACACTCACTTCTCACCTGCTGCACTTCCACCTGTTTTTTCATCACTGCACAACCCCCACATGCCACAGTATGGGCGCCCCCATAGTAACAGCACTTTATCTAGACCCCATCTCCACATTCCCCATATGCATGTTCTCCAAGGTGGTGAAGGGCTTTGTAGGTCAGAAGGAGGATCTTGTAACACTTATGGGAGATTCTGAAGCAATTTTGGAATCCGTCCAATAGTGTTCCAGACACTTGTAGAATCTGTGCCATAATTAATTTTTCACTAAGTAGTGTTGATGTAGTGAACTACTTTTTCAAAGTACCTAGTTAAGTAAACTATATTTTCTTAAAGACTTGCTCTGGTACTTTGGCGACTAAGAAAGTATTTTTTAAACCTGCCGCTTTGGGCTGGATGTGTCAATGTGTAGTTCATACATGCATAATCTATGAGCAGAACTACTGTCTTACTTCAATTAGCTACTAGTTTAGCAACTAGTTTGAATGCGACTATTTTCTTGAAGCTGTGCTGCGCCATTTTCCCTACATAACCTCCCATGTGGGCCAGCTCCTTAGCAATTCTAGTTCTAGCCCCTCGCATTTCAGTGACAGCTAGCAAGAGGGCTGCCCAGCGTTATCCAATGACGTTGCAGGGCGGGCCCAACGGCTCAGTGGACACAGCAGGGAGAGCAATGACATGGTGCACATTTCTTCACATTTGTGACATAGTACGTGATGTTCGGGAGCCACTTTTGGCTTGTGAGTCCTACTTTCAGAACTACTGGTTAAAAATAATATAAAAGTACAGGAGAATATCTCTAAGGGTAGCTCAGGTTTCCCCAAACTTGGTCCTGTGGATAATAATCAACTAATCATCAAGCTTTGATTATTTGAACCAGCTCTGTAGTGATAGGGCAAAAACCAAAAGGTGGGAAATGCTGGTGTAGCTAAACTTCTTCCAGTGAGAAGTAATTGGTAGCTTGGTAAACTATAGAGTAGCTGTTGGAGGCTATGTAGGACTTTACTTTCCATAGGAAATATATTTTTGTTCTTTAGATGATGGGTACTGTACATCATGCTGCTACATTGGAAAACACATCCAGGCTACTCACAGTGCGTCCACATGGATTGGGAATCTCCCCTGTGCAGTCTAAGCACATGAGAATGGGAAATCCCCTGGCTTTGATCAATGTCGCCCTCTGCATTCCACTGGAACACCAAAACACAACTATTTGCTCTGGGTGTAATTAAATAAAACTATACAGTTTCATGTCATTATTTGACCAAGAGGAATATACTAAAATAAGAAATGTTACAGGAGAAAATGACACTCTCCCTGTATTGCTGGTATAATGCCAACATGCCAGTTCCTTCCTGTTAAAGAGATTTAGCAAAAAGACATCGCAATTGGGGGTTCATCTCCTTTTATTACAAAATAACAAATTCTGGAAAGTATGATACATTGACTGGAACACATGTAACAACTTTCATTAGATGATATAGCTGCCATCATTTCAATCAATAAATACGTTTTATTTATAAAGCCCGGTAAAACAACTGCCGATGTCAAAGGTGATTTACACAGTAACCTGGGCTAAACCCCTGAGCAAGTAGCAGCAAGCAAGAACTCCCTACAAGAAGAAATCTTAAGAGGAACCAGATTTGGAGTAGAGGTACATATGACCATCTAGTGGTGTGGTGTGCAACTCCCACTGTCTGAGTCCTATAATGAGTGTTTCAACTGTATTGTGTTGAACTTTGTGTATAATGTATTGTAGTGTAGTTCTGATTTTACAAAATTACATTCCATGAAAATGGACTTTAGTATAAAAGGCTGTCCTCCCTTTATGTTTTATCTATGCAAAGAAGCAATGATAATTGCTCTGGCATAAAGCCTGTTGAGTGACCATGGACTGAAGGTCATTCTATTCTTCTGTTTTCTTATCCTTTTTGGTCTCCTGGTCAGACCACTTCCTGGATAACAGGAGTACCAATCCCAGCAGCATTAGCAGCAGGCTTTTAGGTCTCCTGCTCAGACCACTTCCTGGATAACAGGAGTACCAATCCCAGCAGCATTAGCAGCAGGCTTTTAGGTCTCCTGCTCAGACCTCTTCCTGGATAACAGGAGCACCAATCCCAGCAGCATTAGCAGCAGTGGATACGTCAACAATCTGCTCCTCTGCTCAGCAGGTGTCACACAGCACACTGTGGAAGAGAGGAGAAGAAAGGAGCACTCAACCTCAGTCACTGAAATAAGCAACAATTCCCTCTATATCTGACTAGTACTTTATCATGAACTGTAGTAGAGTATTGTGAACAACACTCACAGCTTGCTCCAGGAAGCCCATGGTGAAAGGCCATTGTGCAAGTATGGTATCATCATTCATCACATCCCAATGGACTAGGTACAAACTACACCAGAATAATGAGAATAAGAACACATGTATGATCAATAATCCAAAATACCCAACAAAAAAATATTAAACCCGATTTTAAAAAAGTATCTGAAAAGAACATTGAGTCAACGAACAAACACTGGAACCCTGATCTTTTACCTGGTGGTGGGTGGAGTGTGAGAGACTTGGTGAAACTCTGGTCCAGAACCCTCAGTCTCAGATCGGCTGTAACAGTCAGAGGGCTGTTCAGCCTCAGGGTCACCTCACTCTTGACATCATACCGCCCTCTGCTGTCCAACTCCATAGTGGTGATGTAACTGCCCATCACACCTCCTCACAGTACCTCTGGCTGGGGAAACCCATGAGAGGCATGGAGGGTGACAATGAAGCCATCACAAGTGGCTTGGGCGGATATCATTGGCTCATCATAAGGGCCTGGTTTGAAATATAATAAATACTTTTGTAGGGGCAGTTAACATCATTTAAACTATACAATGCATCAACAATGGAACTTACCTGCCACTAGAAGTTGTAGCTTTTCCTTGGTGCTTCCCTGTTCATCTGTCACATGACAGGTGTATTGGCCCTGGTCACTCGGCTGCACACCACTCAGTCTAAGTGAGGCATTTCCCACAGTGAGCTGGTCTTCAAATAGATGAGTGCGTCCCTTGTAAACAACACTGTCTTTCCAGCTGATCTTTCCCATAGTAATAGCTGTGGACCACCTCTGATTCTCCACGCTGCCAGTTGACGATCAAGTTGTTGAGGTTCAGGTTTTTAGACAGAGGGAAAGAGCAGCTAAGGGTGATGTCACTGCCCAGAGCTGCCACTTCTCGGGTTTGTAGACTGGTTGTAGTTACCACTGATATATGGAATAGGTGGAAAGAGAGGTGTGGGAGAGAGAGTGGTATTGGCAATGTAATACGCTGTTTGGAGGGTTCAGAGTAGAAGGTCAACTATAATGAAAGTTAAGCCTAGCTATCTAGCCGACTAAAATCAACTGCACAATTACGATGGAATTGAGTGACGACCAGTTTGAGCGGACTGGAGCTCTGACTTCACATAAAGAATAGCCCGCAATTGCACAGACAAATGTTGGGGTCCTGAAATCAGTCTTTTGATAAAAACGTCATTTTATGTGACATCGGAGCTCCAGTCTGCCCACTCTAGTATCAGCTTAACTCCATCTTAAATCGTGGAGTTGAGTTTAATCGGCTAAATTAAGACCAGACAGAGGCAGCATACAGGAGCTCTACAAAATGGGTCTTTATTCTCTAGAAGCAACCACCATCTCAATAATTTCACGCAGGGGCGCAACTTTGGTTTTAGAAGTGGGGGGGAGACACTTGAAACCCCACCTCTTTAAGGAATACCTGGGATAGGATAAAGTAATCCTTCTACCCCCCCTTACCCCACCCCCCCCAAAAATTTTTTTTTTTTTAATTGTAAAGTGGTTATCCCACTGGCTATAAGGTGAATGCGCCAATTTGTAAGTCGCTCTGGATAAGAGCGTCTGCTAAATGACGTAAATGTAATGTAAATGATGCACCTGTACTGACCTCGCCTTCTGGATGATAGCGGGGTGAACAGGCAGTGGCTCAGGTGGTTGGTCCTTGATTATCTTTTTGGCCTTCCTGTGACATCAGGTGCTGTATGTGTCTTGGAGGGCGGGTAGTTTGCCCCCGGTAATGCGTTCGGCAGACCGCACCACCCTCTGGAGAGCCCTGCGGTTGCGGGCGGTGCAGTTGCCTTACCAGGCGGTGATACAGCCCGACAGGATGCTCTCAATTGTGCATCAAATACCCCACAAGTTATTCATTTTTTGTTCACATATGGCGCAAGTGCAGGACCTTTCATTTGACGTGAGGAAGTCGGTCTACAACAGACCCACGTTTGGAAAGTCTGTTTGATAATACGTTCCTTTAGATATTTTGTCTCAGTTCCACTCTGCTCTTTGAAGGGGGGGAAAAGATGGCAGAAGTGGGACGTTCTTTTAAATCAGATGTGAGGGAGAATAATTGGATTACAGTGGGGAATACAAAAGGATATAAGAGAAGTCAAGTGGTAGTGGAATCTAGTAAATCCAAACCTAGTTCTGAAAAAACAATTTGTCGGAGTAAGGTTTTTGGATCGATGTTACCTGGGAGACCTGTCTGATGTCTCTATAAAAACCGTGGATGCGTTAGATAAGGTGGCGTCGGTGAGAGTAATGAGAAGTGGGCTTATTTTGGTTTTCTGTGTATCTTTGGAACAGAAGGAGCATGCTCTGCACCTTAAGAAGATATCAGATTGGAATGTGTCATGTTGATTTTGGAAGCAGGGCACCTATCAAGGGTGTTATCTCTGGTGAATGCAAAGGATATACGTGAAGAATTGGATCAAGCGGTTGGTGCACACCGACTGACCCGCATGGTGGGTGGAGTGAGGAAGCCCACTCCATTCATTCTATTGTTTTTTTAAGAACAGTCTTTCCCGTCTCACGTGTATTTGGGTTTTATGAGATACCCTGTGAGAGCTTTCATACCCAAACCCATGCAGTGTGATAAATTATAATTATTTGCCCATGTGACAAGTGTATGTAGACAGGAGAAGTATTGTATGCCAGCTGAGCCTAAATGCTGCAATTGTGGTGATGAACATGCGCCCGAATTCCTGAAGTTCCCTGTTAGGATGTAGGAGATGGAGGAGGCAAGAATAAGGGCTGTCCAGCATGTCTCCTATACAGAGGTGGTGAGAAGAGTAGAAGAAAGGAGTGATGTTGAAGAAATAATGGTAGTAGGAGTAGAGACACCAGAGAATATTTGTTATCAACAGAGGGATCCTGACATGTTGCATGTTAAGAAGGTGTACTTTGTAGCGTTGAGGATAGTGGTGTGTATATACACTATAATATAATATAATATAATATGCCATTTAGCAGACACTTTTATCCAAAGCGAATTACAGTCATGTGTGCATACATTTTAACGTATGTGTTTGGACACACCTACTCATTCAAGGGTTTTTCTTTATTTAAAAAAAAAATTACATTGTAGAATAATAGTGAAGACATCAACACTATGAAAGAACACATATGGAATCATATAGTAACCAAAAAAGTGTTAAACAAATCAAAATATATTTTATATTTGAGATTCTTCAAATAGCCACCCCTTTCCTTGATGACAGCTTTGCACACGCTTGGCATTCTCTCAACCAGCTTCATGAGGTAGTCACCTGGAATGCATTTTAATTAACAGGTGTGCCTTCTTAAAAGTTAATTTGTGGAATTTCTTTACTTCTTAATGTGTTTCAGCCAAACAGTTGTGTTGTGGCAAGGTAGGGGTGGGGGGGGGGGGGGGGGGGGGGTATACAGAAGATAGCCCTATTTGGTAAAAGACCAAGTCCATATTATGGCAAGAACGGCTCAAATAATCAAATAGAAACGACAGTCCATCATTACTTTAAGACTTGAAGTCAATCCTGAAAAGTTTCTTCAAGTGCAGTCGAAAAACCATCAAGCACTATGATGAAACTGGCTCTCATGAGGACCGCCACAGGAATGGAAGACCCAGAGTTACCTCTGCTGCAGAGGATAAGTTCATTAGAGTTACCAGCCTAAGAAATTGCAGCCCAAATAAATGCTTCACAGAGTTCAAGTAACAGACACATCTCAACATCAACTGTTCAGAGGGGACTGTGTGAATCAGGCCTTAATGGTCGAATTGCTGAAAAGAAACTGCTACTAAAGGACACCAATAAGAAGAAGAGACCTGCTTGTGCCAAGGAACACGAGCAATGGACATTAGACCAGTGGAAATTTGAGATTTTTGGTTCCAACCGCCGTGTCTTTGTGAGACGCGGTGTGGGTGAACGGATTATCTCCGCATGTGTAGTTCCCACCGTAAAGCATGGAGGAGGAGGTGTTATGGTGTGGGGATGTTTGCTGGTGACACTATCTGTGATTTATTTAGAATTCAAGGCACACTTAACCAGCATGGCTACCACAGTATTCTGCAGCGATACGCCATCCCATCTGGTTTTGGCTTAGTGGGACTATCATTTGTTTTTCAACAGGACAATGACCCAACACACCTCCAGGTTGTGTAAGGGCTATTTGACCAAGAAGGAGAGTGATGGAGTGCTGCATCAGATGACCTGGCCACAATCCCCTGACGTCAACCCAATTGAGATGGCTTGGGATGAGTCGGACGGCAGAGTGAAGGAAAAGCAGCCAACAAGTGCTCAGAGTATGTTGTAACTCCTTCAAGATTGTTGGGAAAGCATTCCAGGTGAAGCTGGTTGAGAGAATGCCAAGAGTGTGAAAAGCTGTCATCAAGGCAAAGGGTGGCTATTTGAAGAATCTCAAATATAAAATATATTTTGATTTGTTTAACACTTTTTTGGTTACTACATGATTCCATATGTGTTATTTCATCGTTTTGATGTCTTCATGATTATTCCACAATGTAAAAAAAAATTTAAAATAAAGAAAAACCCTTGGATGAGTAGGTGTGTCCAAACATTTGACTGGTACTGTATATATAGGGTTAGATGGTGGCGCAAGTTCCCTTTTCATATTTTTTTGTGAACAAATGTGCAATGCATTTTCCGAACTGGTAAAGGCAGCAATATTCAACAAAGCGTCTAGTCTGCCGGAAAACCACAAGAAGAAGAAGAAGATCCCCTGGAACGGACCCAATCACACAGTCGAGATGGAACGCAACCAAGACGCATAGGTTACGTAATAATAATGCGACTGTCCATTTTGGACAACTTTGGCCTCGGTTTGCAGCGACGGACAAATACAACAATTCATGCTTTATTTAAATAGCTAGTTAAGATTGAATACTTTTGGAACGTCACGACTTACGGTAATAACGTTTTGTACATATACGTGCTGTATTAACTTGCTGATTTTTACATTTTGTCATCCTGGCTAACGTTAGCCAGCCAACTAGCGATAACGTTTGCTAACAGTTACTAGCCAAAAACGTAAACAAGCCAACTATCAATGCGTTTGGTGTTAGCCAAACGTTAACTGTACATGGTTAGAAGCTAGCTAGATGTGTTTACCACAAAATAATGGACTACCAACAAAACGTTTATGTCTTTACAGTAAGTATGGCGATGAAATCCGGAGAGGAGCGGTTGAAGGAGATGGAGGCGGAAATGGCTCTGTGAGTACAAGTGCTGAGACATGACACTAAGGTTACCTTCAATAAGATTGCAATGACGTGTGTGGCCAAAACAACCCCTACTAAATGGGCTTACTTCTCTATCAGAACAGGCAAACAATATCTCATGACAATCGTCATGTGTTGGTAACTCTTGTGTTGGTTCTGATCCAGGTTTGAGCAGGAGGTCCTGGGGGGTCCAGTGGCAATGACTGCAGGAGACCCTGCAGTGATGGAGGTGGTCCCTATGGGTGTTCCTATGGCTGTACCTATGATCCGACCCATCATCGGCACCAACACCTACCGACAGGTACTTAGATCCTGAGGAAAGAATGATTGAACATTTTATATACGAAAGCTCAATAGTAGAATGAGCGAACTCAAAACTATCGTCTGCTAAAAGCAAACAGAATGTGGTGTTAGCCAGATGTATCCAACTCCTTCAAATTCCCTTTTCTCTCAGGTCCAGCAAACCTTGGATGCAAGGGCTGCCAATTTCGTGGGACCTCCACCCCCTGCATTTGTAGGCCCAGGTGACATGGTTTGATTCACGTTTATTAACATAATACAGTGCATTCGGAAATTGCTCAGACCCCTTCCCTTTTTCCACTGTTTATATTGATGATCCTTGAGATGTTTCTACAACTGGATTGGAGTCCACCTGTGGTAAATTCAATTGATTGGACATTATTTGGAAAGGCACACACCTGTCTATATAAGGTCCCACAGTTGACAGTGCAAAAACCAAGCCATGAGGTCGAAGGAATTGTCCGTAGAACTCCGAGAAAGGATTGTGTTCTGCAGCATTGAACATCCCCAAGAACACAGTGGCCTCCATCATTCTTAAATGGAAGAAGTTTGGAACCACCAAGACTCTTCCTAGAGCTGGCCTCCCGGCCAAACTGAGCAATCGGGGGAGAAGGGCTTTGGTCAGGGAGGTGACCAAGAACCCGATGGTCACTCTGACAGAGCTCCAGTTCCTCTGTAGAGATGGGAGAACCTTCCAGAAGGACAACCATCTCTGCAGCACTCCACCAATCAGGCCTTTATGGCAGAGTGGCCAGACGGAAGCCACTCTTCAGTAAAAGGCACATGACAGCCCGCTTGGAGTTTCCAACAAGTCAACGACCCTGGAGCACACAGCCAAGATAGCACAGGAGTGGCTTCGGGACAAATCTCTGAATGTCCTTGAGTGGCCCAGCCAGAGCCCGGACTTGAACCCGATCAAGCATCTCTGGAGAGACCTGAAAATAGCTGTGAAGCGTCGCTCCCCATCCAACCTGACAGAGCTTGAGTGGATCTGTAGAGAAGAATGGGAGAAACACCCCAAATACAGGTGTGCCGTCATACCCAAGAGGACTTGAGGCTGTAATCGCTGCCAAAGGTGCTTCAACAAAGTACTGAGTAAAAGGTCTGAATTCTTATGTAAATGTGATATTTCCGTTTAAAAATAATAATCTAAACCTGTTTTTGCTTTGTCATTATGGGGTATTGTGTGTAGATTGATGAGGAAATTTTAGAATAAGGCTGTAATGTAACAAAATGTGGAAAAAGTCAAGGAGTCTGAATACTTTCCGAATGCACTGTATATGCCATTTAGCAGACGCATTTATCCAAAGCGACTTAGTCATGCGTGAATACATTTTTCATTATTCACGTGGTCCTCTGTAGCTCAATTGGTAGAGCATTGCGCTTGTAACGCCAGGGTAGTGGGTTCAATCCCCGGGACCACCCATACGTAAAAATGTATGCGCACATGACTGTAAGTCGCTTCGGATAAAACAGTCTGCTAAATGGCATATTATTTATTTATATTATTTATTATGGGTGGTCCCGGGAATCGAACCCACTATCCTGGTATTGCAAGCACCATGCTCTACCAACTGAGCTACAGAGGACCACATATTGTTACATTAGTTGACATTTAAACAATTTATTTTACCCAATAACAATGTTGATCATTTCTGCTCTTCAGCTATAACCCCAGGTGTCAGACCACCACCAATGATGAGACCAGCGTTTATGCCGCACATCCTGCAGAGACCAGGTAATCTATCTCTACTGTTGCTGACTTCACCTCAGTGCTAGCTAATCAGCGATTCAGTCTTCAAATGAAAAACAATGTGTTGGGAGGCTAATTGGAAATCTCTCTTTCAGGGGGTCCGAGGATGCCTATGATGCGTGGTCCCCCTCCACAGGGTATGATGGCTCCCCCACTGCCACGCCCCCCTCCTCCCCCGCCCATGATGATGGCACCCCCCATGCAAGGACCCCCTCAGCATCCTCAGCATCCCATGGACCCAATGGGACATATGAGCTCAGGAGGACCCCCGGTTAGTTGCTATAGTGCCTTTTTATCCCCCATAGAGACCCCTAGGACAACTAATATCAATGCTCTCCCTAAAGGCCCACACAGACTGTACGATTTTAGACGTCTTATACCACGATTTGGCGGTCGCAGACAACATTTTCATGTTGTGGGAAAATCCTTTTCTTGGCTCGTTCAGTGTGACATGGTGTAGGTCTGCCGATTGAGTACCACCACATGCGGTCGTAGGCTCAGACAAAGTTCTGGCAGTGTCAGAAATGTTGAGCCTTTATCGTGTAGTGTGGCTGGTGTTACGAGCCGATCCCGGTGACTTACCAATAGGAACACGGCCGGCACTGAGTATGCACACAACACTACGATTGTGAATAGTCCGATTAATACAGTGAGGGGAAAAAAGTATTTGATCCCCTGCTGAGTTTGTACGTTTGCCCACTGACAAAGAAATGATCAGTCTATAATTTTAATGCTAGGTTTATTTGAACATTGAGAGACAGAATAACAACAAAAAAATCCAGAAAAATGCATGTCAAAAATGTTATAAATTGATTTGCATTTTAATGAGGGAAATAAGTATTTGACCCCCTCTCAATCAGAAAGATTTCTGGCTCCCTGGTGTCTTTTATACAGGTAACGAGCTGAGATTAGGAGCACACTCTTAAAGGGAGTGCTCCTAATCTCAGCTTGTTACCTGTATAAAAGACACCTGTCCACAGAAGCAATCAATCAATCAGATTCCAAACTCTCCACCATGTCCAAGACCAAAGAGCTCTCCAAGGATGTCAGGGATAAGATTGTAGACCTACACAAGGCTGGAATGGGCTACAAGATCATCGCCAAACAGCTTGGTGAGAAGGTGACAACAGTTGGTGAGTTTATTCGCAAATGGAAGAAACAAAAGAACTGTCAATCTCCCTCGGCCTGGGGCTCCATGCAAGATCTCACCTCGTGGAGATGCCATGATCATGAGAACGGTGAGGAATCAGCCCAGAACTACACGGGAGGATCTTGTTAATGATCTCAAGGCAGCTGGGACCATAGTCACCAAGAAAACAATTGGTAACACACTACGCCGTGAAGGACTGAAATCCTGCAGCACCCGCAAGGTCCCCCTGCTCAAGAAAGCACATATACATGCCCGTCTGAAGTTTGCCAATGAACATCTGAATGATTTAGAGGAGAACTGGGTTATAGTGTTGTGGTCAGATGAGACCAAATTGGAGCTCTTTGGCATCAACTCAACTCGCCGTGTTTGGAGGAGGAGGAATGCTGCCTATGATCCCAAGAACACCATCCCCACCGTCAAACATGGAGGTGGAAACATTATGCTTTGGGGGTGTTTTTCTGCTAAGGGAACAGGACAACTTCACCGCATCAAAGGGACGATTGACGGGGCCATGTACCGTCAAATCTTGGGTGAGAACAACCTCCTTCCCTCAGCCAGGGCATTGAAAATGGGTCGTGGATGGGTATTCCAGCATGACAATGACCCAAAACACACGGCCAAGGCAACAAAGGAGTGGCTCAAGAAGAAGCACATTAAGGTCCTGGAGTGGCCTAGCCAGTCTCCAGACCTTAATCCCATAGAAAATCTGTGGAGGGAGCTGAAGGTTCGAGTTGCCAAACGTCAGCCTCGAAACCTTAATGACTTGGAGAGGATCTGCAAAGAGGAGTGGGACAAAATCCCTCCTGAGATGTGTGCAAACCTGGTGGCCAACTACAACAAACGTCTGACCTCTGTGATTGCCAACAAGGGTTTTGCCACCAAGTACTAAGTCATGTTTTGCAGAGGGGTCAAATACTTATTTCCCTCATTAAAATGCAAATCAATTTATAACATTTTTGACATGTGTTTTTCTGGATTTTTTTGTTATTCTGTCTCTCACTATTCAAATAAACCTACCATTAAAATTATAGACTGATCATGTCTTTGTCAGTGGGAAAACATACAAAATCAGCAGGGGATCAAATACTTTTTTCCCTCACTGTATACAGTGAATGCCCATGAATGTAGATGCTACCATGATTACGGATAATCCTGAATGAATGTTGAATAATGATAAGTGAGAAAGAAAAATGCTAACCTCCCATTATTGTAAAGGTGAGAGGTTAGCATGTCTTGGAGGTATGATATTTGTGCGTCTAACGTTCTCACTCATCATTATTCACGATTCATTCAGGATGATTCGTAATCATGGTAGCATCCACATTAATGTAGAAGTACTTAGAAACATTATATTCTTATTTACAATAAACATGACTCCAAAATGACACGATACATTATTTACCATTCATTTCTATTGGGCACAACATAATCTGAAACAACCAAAACAAAGAGCAAATGCATCCAACAAATTTAAGTCACAAGCTTGTTGTAGTCATTGCGCGCTATGAACATGGGAACAAATACTTAACTTTTTACTACTTTAATACACATAAGTGAATTTGTCCCAATACTTTTGCTCCCCTAAAATGGGGGGACTATGTACAAAAAGTGGTGTAATTTCTAAACAGTTCATGTATGAAAATACCCACAAATTAAAGCTGACAGTGTGCACTTTAACCTCATTGTTATTGTTCGATTTCAAATCCAAACTTTGAGTATAGAGCCAAAAGAAGAAAAGATGCTTCACTGTCCCTGTAATAGTTTGATTTAAACATTTAAATGCTTTGCAAGAACAATGATTTCCCTAATCTTGTTTAGGCTATATCTAAAAAGGCTACCTGATGGGATTTTGATAAATGCACAAAATCGGCAATCAAAATAAACGTTCTATCACAGTGGCCATGTTATTTTTGGGAAGCGTGTTTGATTCTGAGTTCCGACATATAAAGTTTGTATGTAAAACTATTTCTAAGTTGCATACTTTCAGTTTTTTCCGAACTCACTTCACTCACGCATAAGCACAGAGGGAGGCTTGCGCTGCTAGTGCTGGCTCATGTGCAGATCAAATGCACCGCTGCAGTTGAAATAGCATACATCAGCAGACATAGCCTCGCAAGCCAATCACAGAATGTGTTAACAGAACTGAAGCAAATCGTATAATCTGGCCAGCAAGATATCAAGATTTTAATTAGGTAAGATCGCACAGTGTGACATGTAATAATCGTAAAAGACTGAATCCAACGTACAGTGTGGGAAGGCCTTTAAGGAAATTCAGTGTTAACTGTGTCTTCAATTACGAATGTGAGCAGGCTTGGTCAATCTTGCCCAGTTCTGTTGTGCTTCATTATCTCAATTTTTCTATATGCTGTTACCATTTCTCACCATCTACAGGTGGGGTCGACCCATGGTACACCCATGGGACACTCCATGGTGTCAGCACCCTCCAGGCCTGTGACCCAGGCCCCTCCCAAGCTCACCCCCTCGATCATCTCTGCGGCCCCCACTGTCTACACAGCTCCCCCCGGGCCCAAGATACCAGACATCCATGCCCAGAGAAAGGCTCGCATGGTAAGCACACTCACTTCTACTCTTTAGTTTTCAATGCCTTTGCATTCTCATTTTTTTCAACGACTACTTAAAATGTGCATTTGACATACTTGCCAAATCTGCTGATGTTTGCTGGAAATTCACACTGAATCTTATCTATCATCATGTCTCTGTTCTCCCTCTGACCTCATCAGGAGGAGCTGGCAGCGTCTGTAGCAGAGCAGCAGGCAGCAGTGATGGCTGCCGGACTGCTGGAGGCTAAGAAGGAGGCCAGCCTTGCCGCCTCAGATGACAACGTTATCGGACCCAGCATGCCAGAGCCCGAGCCCGTCCACACTGAGGTACAGAATTCTCTGCCTTGTTTATCAGCCCAGGCTCAAGTTAAAGGGTTTAAACTTTTCGGCATTCAAAATGCTTGTACAATTAAATTGGTGGATTGAAATAGACTTGACCCAAACCCTACAAAGGGCCAGTATTGCAGCAATCTCTAGAATATGTCTGACTCTAGAATCTTGTGTTTCTCTGCAGCCAGTGGATAGCACAGCAGAGGAGAAGAAGAAGGGTAAGCAAGAGAAGGCGAAGAAGTGTATCCGTACAGCCGCAGGCACCAGCTGGGAGGACCAGAGTCTACTGGAGTGGGATTCAGGTAAGCTAGCTAATGACTTCAGATTACACTGAGAAGATTAATTCCTAGTTACTAGCTGCTTTTTTTAGCAATGCTAGTATTTACACAGTAGATTTGCTGGGAATTAGCGTGCAAAAAAACTGAATAGCCCGCCGGATGCCAGAAGTTCAATCAAATTGTCCATAGGGTTGGTCCTTATGCAGGGGGGAAATTGAGAAAAAACATCTAATAGAACATAAATTAACCCTAGGATGCATAGTAAACATGACGCCCCAAGAATGCATATGTCGGGTCAAAATGACCCGATAATGTAATATCTTTGTTTTATTTATATGGGTCTAAAATATTATCCATGTTTTGGAACATAATTATTTTGAATTATGATTTGGACCTTTCAATAATTATTTTATTGTTTGAAATGTTTTTAGTTGCTCTTCAACAGTTGATACACATTTCAATGATAACATTATGAAAATTCATAACGGCTATTGAAAATATGAGCATATTTTTCTTACAATCAATGTTACAATCAAAGTTTCACATTCAACCTTTTTAGTGTGAAGAACAAAATAAAACCACCTTAAGCATGTTTTATAATATTTCAAAAATTGTATTTGAAAATCCAAAGTTCATCATCAATATAAACGACAACACTAACAATTTTGAATTTAGAAAACATAAACACTAAAAGGAACAAAGTGTGTGTGCATGTCATGCTTACTTATGCTGTCTTACTCCATGCATTTGTTACAAACCAAAAGCATGTGACTGTGCTCTTTGCAGACAGGTGTGTTGCACTGAGAACACCAGCAGCTGACTTTTCTGTCCTTTGTGCTTGGGCAGAGCTGGCACCTCTTCCTCTTCTGGCCCTGGCTGCTCTGAGTGGTGGTGGCATGGCTCTCTTTCATCACCCCACATTTTTCCATTGCCTCAGTTCTTCTGTGGAGATGGGAGAACCTTCCAGAAGGACAACCGTCTCTGCAGCACTCCAACAATCAGGCCTTTATGGTAGAGTGGCCAGACTGAAGCCACTCTTCAGTAAAACGCACATGACAGCCCGCTTGGAGTTTGCCAAAAGGCACCTAAAGGACTCTCAGACCATGAGAAACATGATTCTCTGGTCTGATGAAACCAAGATTGAACGCTTTGGCCGGAATGCCAAGCGTCACGTCTGGAGGAAACCTGCTCATCCACTGTGACGCAGTCCTCTACAGTGTGCTAGGAAAAGGTCCCACACATGCCTGAAGGCTGCCAGGTGGTCCATTGCTTCTCTGAACACTCTGGTCCTCTTGTCATCAAGCCTCAGGTAGCGACGGATATCTTCCGACCAACATGGACGCCTTATAAGATGGCGTAGCAATGCGGTCGTGTTTTTTTCTGTGTCCTTGTGTAAATAGCCAGTTTTTTAGTTTTTTGTCTATTTTGTATATATTTCTCAATTTTACTCTTCATTCTTTAACTAAATATACTTTCCTGCAACCCGCCTCACCCAACGTGGAAAGGATTATATTATTTCTTTATAACTTTTATCAAGAACCTTAAGCTGAAACTAGTCTAGCTGCAACCGAATGGCTACTTGCTATTAGCCACCGTTAACGTCTTCACCATTGTCTGTGGCCTGCACTACCCACCAGCCAGCTCTAGCTCTAGCCTGGACAATTTGTCGGCCAGTCTGCACAGCGTGCTATCGACCCAGAGCATATCGAATTTTCTGCCGGAATCACTGGAACCTAGCGCCGGATCATCGCAACCAAATGGCTGTTGTCGTTGGCTAATTACCATTGCCCCTTAGCAAGCACCAGTTAGCCTTGAGCTAGCCTCGAGCCATGCCCATCTCCCGGCTATCTACCTCTCTGTCAACCGGACGGGACCTCCTAGTGTTGACACGGAGCCCCGCCGATCCAACACGACTGGTTTGCCGACTAAATGGTTTCAACAGGCTTCCCGTTACGACGTCGACCACGAAGATCCATCTGCTAGCCCCGGCCCGATAACACACGCAAGCCGGGCCTCTTGCTCGCCAGTGCTGTAGCAGCCCCCGAACTACCTCCGAACTCTCCTATTGCTGTTCACCGGACCTTATGATAACTCAGCTATACAGCTGATGCCTGCTGGACTGTTCCTTTATACGGTACCGCATCCTGTTTATGTTTAGCCTCAGCCCAAACTTTGTCGCCATTACCAGCTGTTGTCTTAGCGCTCTCGAATAACACCTGTGATTACTTTATGCCTCTCTCCCATGTCAATATGCCTTGCTTATTGCTGTTTCGGTTATTTCTTATTGTACTATTTCACTGTAGAGCCCCCAGCCCAGCTCAACCTGCCTTAGACAGCTCCTTTGTCCCACCCCCCATACACGCGGAGACCGACTCAATCATTGCCTCCAGTGATGCTATCTCTTTCATCGTTACCCAACGCTTAGGTTTACCTCCACTGTACTCATATCCTTCCATATCCTTGTCTGTACATAATGCCCTGAATCTATTCTACAACGCCCGGAAATCTGCCCCTTTTTTTCTCTGTACCCAACGCACTAGAAGACCAGTTCTTAAAGCCTTTAGCCGTATCCTTATTCTACTCCTCCTATGTTCCTCTGGTGATGTAGAGGTTAACCCAGGCCCTGTAGCCCCCAGTATCACTCCTACTCCCCAGGCGTTATCATTTGTTGACTTCTGTAACCGTAAAAGCCTTGGTTTCTTGCACGTTAACATCCGAAGCCTCCTCCCTAAGTTTGAGTTATTCACTGTGTTAGCACACTCCGCCCACCCTGATGTTCTAGCAGTGTCTGAATCCTGGCTTAGGAAGGCCACCAAAAATGCAGAAATGTCCATCCCCAACTACAACATTTTCCGTCTCGATAGAACTGCCAAAGGGGGTGGGGTTGCAATATACTGTAGAGAGAACCTGCAGGGCTCTATCATACTATCCAGGTCTGTGCCCAAACAGTTTGAGCTTCTACTTCTAAAAATCCACCTTTCCAGAAATAAGTCTCTCACTGTTGCCGCTTGCCCCCCATCTATCCTCAGAGTTCGTACTGCTTGGTGACCTAAACTAGGATATGCTTAACACCCCGGCCAACCTACAATCCAAACTAGATGCCCTCAATCTCACACAAATTATCAACGAACCTACCAGGTACAACCCAAAATCTGTAAACATGGGCACCCTCATAGATATCATCCTGACAAATTTACCCTCTAAATACACCTCCGCTGTCTTCAACCAGGATCTCACCGATCACTGCCTTATTGCCTGCGTCCGTAACGGGTCCGCGGTCAAACGACCACCCCTCATCACTGTCAAACGCTCCCTAAAACACTTTAGCGAGCAGACCTTTCTAATTGGCCTGGCCCGGGTATCCTGGATGGATATTGACCTCATTCCGTCAGTAGAGGATGCCTGGTTGTTCTTTAATAGTGCTTTCCTCTCAATCTTAAATAAGCAAAAATTCAGAACTAAGAACAGATATAACCCTTGGTTCTCCTCAGACTTGACTGCCCTTGACCAGCACAAAAACATCCTGTGGCATACTGCATAAGCATCGAACAGCCCCCGCGATATGCAACTTTTCAGGGAAGTCAGGAACCAATATACACAATCAGTTAGGAAAGCAAATGCTAGCTTTTTCAAACAGAAATTTGCATCCTGTAGCACTAACTCCAAAAAGTTTTGGGACACTGTAAAGTCCATGGAGAATAAGAGCACCTCCTCCCAACTGCCCACTGCACTGAGGCTAGGAAACACTGTCACCACTGATAAATCTACAATAATCGAGAATTTCAACAAGCATTTTGCTACAGCTGGCCATGCTTTCCACCTGGCTACCACTACCCCGGCCACCAGCTCTGCACCCTCCGCTGCAACTTGCCCTGTTGAGAAGTCTTTTGGACCTAGACTTGGCACTCCGGTACCGCTTGCCGTGCGGTAGCAGAGAGAACAGTCTATGACTAGGGTGGCTGGAGTCTTTGACAATTTTGAGGGCCTTCATCTGACACCGCCTGGTATAGAGGCATATTTTTCTGGATGGCCGGAAGCTTGGCCCCAGTGATGTACTGGGCCGTACGAACTACCCTCTGTAGTGCCTTGCGGTCGGAGGCCAAGCAATTGCCATACCAGGCGGTGATGCAACCAGTCAGGATGCTTTTGATGGTGCAGCTGTAGAATTTGTTGAGGATCTGAGGACCCATGCCAAATCTTTTCAGTCTCCTGAGGGGAAATAGGCTTTGTCGTGCCCTCTTCACGACTGTCTTGTTGTGTTTGGACCATGATAGTTCGTTGGTGATGTGGACACCAAGGAACTTGAAGCTCTCAACCTGTTCCACTACAGCCCCGTCGATGAGAATGGGGGCGTGCTCAGTCCTCTTTTTTTTCCTGTAGTCCACAATCATCTCCTTTGTCTTGGTCACGTTGAGGGAGAGGTTGTTATCCTGGCACCACACGGCCAGGTCTCTGACCTCCTCCCTATAGGCTGTCTCATCGTTGTCGGTGATCAGGCCTAACACTGTTGTCATCGGCAAACTTAATGATGGTGTTGGAGTCGTGCCTGGCCATGCAGTCATGGGTGAACAGGGAGTACAGGAGGGGACTGAGCACGCACCCCTGAGGGGCCCCCGTGTTGAGGATCAGTGTGGCAGATGTGTTGTTACCTACCCTTACCACCTGGGGGCGGCCCGTCAGGAAGTCCAGGATCCAGTTGCAGAGGGAGGTGTTTAGTCCCAGGATCCTTAGCTTAGTGATGAGCTTTGAGGGCACTATGGTGTTGAATGCTGAGCTGTAGTCAATGAATAGCATTCTCACGTAGGTGTTCCTCTTGTCCAGGTGGGAAAGGGCAGTGTGGAGTGCAATAGAGATTGCATCATCTGTGGATCTGTTGGGGCGGTATGCAAATTGTAGTGGGTCTAGGGTTTCTGGGATAATGGTGTTGATGTGAGCCATGACCAGCCTTTCAAAGCACTTCATGGCTACAGACGTCGGTAGTCATTTAGGCAGGTTATCTTAGTGTCCTTGGGCACGGGGACTATGGTGGTCTGCTTGAAACATGTTGGTATTACAGACTCAGTCAGGGACATGTTGAAAATGTCAGTGAAGACACTTGCCAGTTGGTCAGCACATGCTCGGAGTACACGTCCTGGTATCAAATCCGCTAAGCTAGACAATCTGGACCCTTTCTTTCTAAATTTAGCCACCGAAATTGTCGCAACCCCTATTACTAGCCTGTTCAACCACTCTTTCGTAACGTCTGAGATCCCCAGAGATTGGAATGCTGCCGCGGTCATCCCCCTTTTCAAAGGGGGTGACACTCTAGATCCAAACGGTTACAGACCTATATCCATCCTGCCCTGCCATTCGAAAGTTTTTGAAAGCCAAGTTAACAAACGCATCACCGACCATTTCGAATCCCACCCTACCTTCTCCGCTATGCAATCTGGTTTCCGAGCTGGTCATGGGTGCACCTCAGCCACGCTCAAGGTCCTAAACGATATTATAACCGTGATCGATAAAAGACAGTACTGCGCAGCCGTCTTCATCGACCTGGCCAAGGCTTTCGACTCTGTCAACCACCACATTCTTATTGGCAGACTTAATAGCCTTGGTTTCTCAAATGACTGCCTCGCCTGGTTCACCAACTACACTGCTCAAAAAAATAAAGGGAACACTTAAACAACACAATGTAACTCCAAGTCAATCACACTTCTGTGAAATCAAACTGTCCACTTAGGAAGCAACACTGATTGACAATAAATGTCACATGCTGTTGTGCAAATGGAATAGACAACAGGTGGAAATTATAGGCAATTAGCAAGACACCCCCAATAAAGGACTGGTTTTGCAGGTGGTGACCACAGACCACTTCTCAGTTCCTATGCTTCCTGGCTGATGTTTTGGTCACTTTTGAATGCTGGCGGTGCTTTCACTCTAGTGGTAGCATGAGACGGAGTCTACAACCGACACAAGTGGCTCAGGTAGTGCAGCTCATCCAGGATGGCACATCAATGCGAGCTGTGGCAAGAAGGTTTGCTGTGTCTGTCAGCGTAGTGTCCAGAGCATGGAGGCGCTACCAGGAGACAGGCCAGTACATCAGGAGACGTGGAGGAGGCCGTAAGAGGGCAACAACCCAGCAGCAGGACTGCTACCTCCGCCTTTGTGCAAGGAGGAGCACTGCCAGAGCCCTGCAAAATGACCTCCAGCAGGCCACAAATGTGCATGTGTCTGCTCAAACGGTCAGAAACAGACTCCATGAGGGTGGTATGAGGGCCCGACGTCCACAGGTGGGGGTTGTGCTTACAGCCCAACACCGTGCAGGACGTTTGGCATTTGCCAGAGAACACCAAGATTGGCAAATTCGCCACTGGCGCCCTGTGCTCTTCACAGATGAAAGCAGGTTCACACTGAGCACATGTGACAGACGTGACAGAGTCTGGAGACGCCGTGGAGAACGTTCTGCTGCCTGCAACATCCTCCAGCATGACCGGTTTGGTGGTGGGTCAGTGATGGTGTGGGGTGGCATTTCTTTGGGGGGCCGCACAGCCCTCCATGTGCTCGCCAGAGGTAGCCTGACTGCCATTAGGTACCGAGATGAGATCCTCAGACCCCTTGTGAGACCATATGCTGGTGCGGTTGGCCCTGGGTTCCTCCTAATGCAAGACAATGCTAGACCTCATGTGGCTGGAGTGTGTCAGCAGTTCCTGCAAGAGGAAGGCATTGATGCTATGGACTGGCCCGCCCGTTCCCCAGACCTGAATCCAATTGAGCACATCTGGGACATCATGTCTCGCTCCATCCACCAACGCCACGTTGCACCACAGACTGTCCAGGAGTTAGCGGATGCTTTAGTCCAGGTCTGGGAGGAGATCCCTCAGGAGACCATCCGCCACCTCATCAGGAGCATGCCCAGGCGTTGTAGGGAGGTCATACAGGCACGTGGAGGCCACACACACTACTGAGCCTCATTTTGACTTGTTTTAAGGACATTACATCAAAGTTGGATCAGCCTGTAGTGTGGTTTTCCACTTTAATTTTGAGGGTGACTCCAAATCCAGACCTCCATGGGTTGATAAATTTGATTTCCATTGATAATTTTTGTGTGATTTTGTTGTCAGCACATTCAACTATGTAAAGAAAAAAGTATTTAATAAGATTATTTCATTCATTCAGATCTAGGATGTGTTCTTTTAGTGTTCCCTTTATTTTTTTGAGCAGTGTACTTCTCAGATAGAGTTCAATGTGTCAAATCAGAAGGCCTGTTGTCTGGACCTTTGGCAGTGTCTATGGGGGTGCCACAGGGTTCAAATCTCGGACCGACTCTATTCTCTGTGTATATCAATGATGTTGCTCTTGCTGCTGGTGACGCTCGGATCCACCTCTATGCGGACGACACCATTTTGTATACATCTGGCCCTTCATTGGACACTGTGTTAACAAACCTCCAAACGAGCTTCAATGCCATACAACACTCCCTCCGTAGCCTCCAACTGCTCTTAAACACTAGTAAAACTAAATGCATGCTTTTCAACCGAACGCTGCTTGCACCTGCCCACCCGACTAGAATCACTACTCTCGGCGGGTCTGACCTAGAGTATGTGGACAACTACAAATACCTAGGTGTCTGGTTAGACTGTAAACTCTCCTTCCAGGCTCACATTAAGCATCTCCAATCAAAAGTTAGATCTAGAATCGGCTTCCTATTTCGCAACAAAGCCTCCTTCACTCATGCTGCCAAACATGCCCTCGTAAAACGGACTATCCTACCTATCCTTGACTTCGGCAATGTCATTTACAAAATCGCCTCCAACACTCTACTCAGCAAATTGGATGTAGTCTATCACAGTGCCATCCGTTTTGTCACCAAAGCCCCATATACTACCCACCATTGTGACCTGTACGCTCTTGTTGGTTGGCCCTCACTACATATTTGTCGCCAAACCCACTGGCTCCAGGTCATCTATAAATCACTGCTAGGCAAATCCCCGTCTTATCTTAGCTCACTGGTCACCATAGCAACACCCACCTGTAGTCTGCGCTCCAGCAGGTATATCTCACTGGTCATCCCCAAAGCCAAGACCTCCTTTGGCCGCCATTCCTTCCAGTTCTCTGCTGCCAATGACTGGAATGAACTGCAAAAATCTCTGAAGCTGGAGACTCTTATCTCCCTCACTAACTTTAGGCGTCAGTTGTCAGAGCACCTTACCGATCACTGCACCTGTACACAGCCCATCTGTAATTAGCCCATCCAACTACCTCATCACCATATTGTTATTTATTTTGCTAATTTGCACCCCAGTATCTCTATTTGCACATCTTTTGCACATCTATCATTCCAGTGTTAATACGAAATTGTAACGATTTTGCACTATGGCCTATTTATTGCCTTACCTCCATAATTTACTACATTCACACACACTGTATATATATTTTCTGTTGTATTTTTGACTTTGTTTTGTTTACCCCATATGTAACTCTGTGTTGTTGTTTTTATCGCACTGCTTTGCTTTATCTTGGCCAGGTCGCAGTTGTAAATGAGAACTTGTTCTCAACTGGCTTACCTGGTTAAATAAAGGTTCAAAAAAATAAATAAAGTAATTAATTGGATTCTGTATTGGATCCAAAATAGTCCCAGCTTTTCTCCACGCCGGCGAGGAGGGTTAAACCAATAAAGGCCTTTAGTTTCTCTTTGTTGACCTCTCTCCACTCTTTTCCTTTTGCTGTCGCTGTTCTCCGTCCTTCTAAATTTGTACACTTTAGGACCTCCTCAATGATGTTGAACAGCTCCCAGTTATCTTTTGGTGACAACAGTTGACCCCGGCACAGGCCCTGGGCAGCTCCTCAGGATGTTATGGCTTCTGGTCCTGCCTTTAGTGGGGGATGTTCACTCCAGTAAGACCCCTTTTTACTCAGTCTATTTGACTGGTTTTCACTCTCCTCAGAGGAGGAGTCCTCCCCATCTGTAGAATCATCTAGGACAGCTGGACTACCAGGTGCATCCACAACTCCAACTTGACCCACAGGCACAGTCTGTGTCATCTGAATTGGATACCTCAGATTCTGAGACAGAGGTATCAATGGCTTCCTCATCCAGCATCTGTAAAACCATTTTGGTTGTATATCTGGCAACATTCTTATGAGCCTCCTTATGAAACTCCTTTTACTCAATGAGTTAAAAAGGAGAAATTAAAATGGTGATTTAATGAACATTAAAAACAAGATATTTAATAAATACTTGATTTTATTGTTGTAGCAAAAAGAAAGGTCAGTTTGACGAGTGCAATGCAGTGAATTCCATATGAAATGCATACGGGTCATATTTGACCCACATGAAAAGTTTGGGTAGTGAAGCAAAAACTATTTTTACATAAAAAATAAGAAATTAAACAACAAAACTAGGATGTTGGAACATTAGACGCATTTATTTAAGGAAAAAAAAACATTAGGCCGGGTCATTTTGACCCGGCATATGCATCCTAGGGTTAAAGACTTTCCAAATGTGGGTCTGTTGTAGGCCCGCTTACCTCATGTGAAAATAAGTCCTGCACATGCACCATACCTGCAAAAAAAATTAACTAGATCTTGTGGGGGACTTATTTTGACATGAGGTAAGCAGAGGAACTGATCTCTCTGAGGAACTGCAGGGTCTACAATAGACCCACGTTTGGAAATTCTGTTTAATTATGTGTTCCATTAACATCTAAAGGAATGTATAGTTAAACAGAATTTCGAAACGTGGGTCTGTTGTAGACCCATGCAGTTCCTCAGAGAGATCAGTTCCTCTGCTTACCTCATGTCAAAATAAAAGTCCCCCACAAGTTCTTGATTATTTTTTTTGCAGGTATGGTACATGTGCAGGACTTATTTTTTCTCAAATTGCCCACTGCATAAGGACCATAAGGACAATTAACAGAGTAAGTAGAAATTTTTTTTTTAATTGCAAGCTAATTCCCAGCAACACTAGTGTGTAAATACTAGTGTTGCTAAAAGCAGTTACCTAGTTACCTGTATTGAGAATAGTATAATTGTTGTTTTCACTACAAACAGGTGACTGTCCCATTCCCTTTTTGTTTCCTCCCTCTTTGCTCAGCCTCATCTTCTGACTTTCCCTCCTCCATCCAGATGATTTCAGAATCTTCTGTGGAGACCTTGGCAATGAGGTAAACGACGACATCCTGGCAAGGGCATTCAGCCGCTACCCCTCCTACCTGAAAGCCAAGGTGGTGCGGGACAAACGCACAGGCAAGACCAAGGGCTACGGCTTTGTCAGCTTCAAGGACCCCAATGACTACGTCCGTGCCATGAGGGAGATGAACGGTGAGCAATAGTGTGCGTGTGTAAAATGTACCAACAAGTTTTGTATCCAACCCCAAGATGTCATTTTAAAATGGGGAGTAACTCCTGATCCGGATCTTTTAATTCTGAGTCTCCGTAGTCGTGAGTAATATCTCGCTGGAACATGGACTTTTCTTTTTTCATGCAAAAACAGGATTAGCTGCATAATTAGCAAGAAAGCATAGTTAGAAAGCTAAGGAAGGTGACAAATGCACGGCCAAGGGCTACAGCTTTGTCAGCTTCAAGGACCCTAACGATTACATCCGCATCATGAGAGAAATTGTTTGTGTGGGGGGAATGGCATAGTCTTCTCCTTTCCTAACACCTTAGTGGTGGCGCCAGTCCAATTCTCAACTGATCTTAGACTGTTTTTGTCCACAGGGAAGTATGTGGGCAGCAGACCCATCAAACTGAGAAAGAGCATGTGGAAGGACAGGAACATGGAAGTTGTACGCAAGAAACAGAAGGAGAAAAAGAAACTGGGACTGAGATAGACAGTGTTTCCCTTGTGTATATGTATGTGCGAGTGTTGTTTTTTGACTGGGAGTGTGGTGTGAGAATAACACAGTTGGCAGAACACAGTTGCCATTGCCCAGTTAGAAGGCCACTCATCCAGCTATGCTCTATGGCGTCTCGGCTCATCTGACATGTTTTCAATTATCACGGAGTAGGGATGTCATTTTACTCATAGAACATGGTTAAACTAGGCTACAAAACACTGTACACGGCACTGGCCCTGGTTGTAATGGTTAGACATTAACCTTTCCAAATGGACCATGCCCTTCTGAAATTTAGAATATACTGCTCTCCTGTTTTTTTTTTATTTTAACATTTTAGTTTGTACAAAAAATTTCTGAACATCACTCAGATTTTCATAGTTGGTATGGCTCCCATGCATCTCAGATGTTTTTTTGTCTGAAATGTGAGATTGGTGATCTCATTTATGTATATGCTATTGTGGAAACTACTTCCAATGGCAATTATGTATTTCCGGAGAGCCTCTGTTATTCATACAGCAAACATTTTTTAAATAAAATTTAAACGTTTGTACATTAAAGTGGATTATTTTGAAGAAGCAGAGAACAATGCAAATGTTTTAAATAAAAACCAAATGTCTTAACAAGCTTGACATATTTGCCAGGCAATCACCTTTCCTGTCTCCTCCAGCCCAGGCAATGATAGCATTTGCTGAGGTGAGGTGGGATAGTTCATAAATTGGTCACAAGATGGGGCTCCAAAACAATCTATTGATTATTTAATCAACCGACCATTGAAAGGTAAGGTTGATATACATACCTTGCTTTAAATTATAAAGGTATACAAAATAGAAGGTAAGGTCAGCTTTTAAAATAAAAACTAATATTGAATATTTTGGCCAACTACCATTTGGAGTATTCAATGTTACCATAGCCAGAGGGATAATGCATTCTCAATTGTGCCATACAATGGGGGAATATTGGATAATACTGTTGCGGATTCGATTTGAGGCTAGAAGTATAGTGGAATTTAAACATTTTGCCCTCACAGCGCACAATTTCTAGGAAATTACAATGTGTTAAAGCTGATTAGGATGTCTGTCTAGGAAATTAATTGGATGATTAACAAAGAATGATTGTATCAAGTCTCACCAATAATATAATGCGAGGAAAAAGACAGTGAGCTAGTTGAATAGATTTGATTGGAAACTTGAAAGCATAAAGACAGGAGAGCCAGTCTGCTTCTTATGTCTTTGTCCGACCCGGGGGCATCAACTGGACCTCAGCATTCACACAAAATAGGGGAGTTCTATCGCCTCTTTCTAAACGAGTATTTTTGGCTGCTCAATGAAGATACAAAAAAATGGTTGATTTATCATTGTTGGCGTCGTTAAAATAATGTTATCTTATTTACGGTTAGCTAGAGCGTTTCAGTCAATCTTTGCGTTTCCATAAAATACGCATATCCCTTTGAGGTTTTGGTATCGGCGGATAGACACTGCTTATCCACATTTCAACCACACGTGTGTTGAAACGTCTCATCATTGCCTGAACTGAGGCAATGAATGCAGCCTACTAACAATGTAGAAAGGACGATTTTGCATGAACCGATAACTTATCTTCATATTTCTAACTAGCAAATTATGTCGTCGATAATATGGAGACAGTTGTCTACATTTTCACGAGGATCTCGCTGAAAATAAGTGTTTTTGCCAAGTCAACGAACTAGATTTCGCCACCCCCTCGTGGTCCCCGTCCCTCCACCCAGTCCTGCCTTGGAGGGGCTAGTGACGAGTGGTTTGGTCCTTTTTCGTGTCAGATTCACATCAACTAGCAATGATGCTTCGACATTTTCTAAATGTGAGGTAAACTGTTGGCATAGCTTGCTAACGTTACATATCAATGTAAGAAAAGGAGGGCCACTTTAACGAATGCATCAATCAAACATTAATTTAAGTGAGACTCGAATTTGAAGACGGAGTCCCTCCGACCCTTTCCCCCGAACCTGGATATCGGAATGGTGGTAAGTCATCATTTTGTTTCATTTCAGGCTGCATATGTCTGTAGACATGAGGACTAGTGAAAAACGTTGTTTATTTTGGCCACAGAACGTGCTAGCTAATTTTTCGTACCACGTCTGTCACAGATAGCTAGTCTGTGTGGCAAACTGAAGATGCTGGTTCAGTCCGTTGTTGCCATTAGTTACAGGGACACTGCTGAACCCTATCACTGCTTCGCTCAAGTCATTTGACATGGTTATTGTCCTTATCTGACCAACTAATAATCTTATAGCTAATGTAATTCAGCCAGATCACATGTGGCTATACCGTTTGTTAGCTCAATTTAGCTAGCTAACTATTTATGTTATTTATTTCCTCTAGTTTGCTAGCTAGCTAACGTTAGCTAACCAATTAGCCACATCGCGCGCCCCTCCCTTGAAATGTAAGCATGAATGGCGGTGTCTGTCAGGCAGGGTGATTCGGTTTTACGGGGCATTCATCACTTGCCTTAATACGAATAGTTACGTGCTGTCCACAACGTGTCATCGTTTAACACAATCTAGCAAGTCTAGCTAATATTATTATGATTGCCTTGTTACTGTTGCTAGATTGCCAGCTCAAAACAGTTTTGAAAACTGACGATCTTTTGTCTATTCCGACCAGGGCTTCCATTTCATTAATTGCGCGCATGCCACAGTGATAAACAGCGTGCAGCTCTTTGCCTACTAACGTCAGGCTCACAACAAAGGCACGGCATACTACAGTAATGTAGCGAATATGATTTTAAATGAGTTAGTACTAAAGAAACTAATGTTATATGCGCAACACAATACAACTAATCTGTTTCCCATTGTCTGGGCTGCAACGTTTTCAGATATAAGATTGTTAATGTCCCTATCCTCCGCGTGTGTATACAATTACAGTCCAATGGGAAAACAATCGGTTCCAGGTAACTGTCAGGGTCAGCGTGATGAAGTATCACTTCAGACCGTTTCAACGCTGTGCTGTCGTCTCGCACTATAACATCACTTCACTGAGTTCATGGTTTCCTAAGGTTAAAGCGCTTTAGACTCGCTTTAGTCATAACTGTGCTGTGCAACTTGAAATATTGTCTTTGAATGAATGGAGAGATTGGCCTGCCAACTCCATTTTGCTATCTTGTCTACTCCCCTGGAGTTATGCTTCGTTCACGTGCTAGTCTGAACTATGAAACTCGGAAATTTCCGAGTTCCTTGTTCTGACTAGCACGTGAACATGCCATTATTCTTACATACATCTGTGTTTGCAGTAGACATGGGTTTTGCATACCAGTGGAACATGTCGTTCTACCAGAGAATAGGGTGGTTTATGATCAGAGGACACAAATCCCCCTCAGTCCATGAGTCTCCTGCTCTCAAGACTGACAATGAGTAATCTGGGTTAGGTTCCAAGACTGGCTCTTAGCCACAGCACAGGGTATTTCTGTCATTAATGATCAGTCCCTCATTAATCTACCCAACTGCAGTGGACCCAGTATGTTACAGCTGAAACAGTCTGAACTGGTGCTTAGCTTCAGATTATGTCACCAAAGTTTATTCTTACATTTACGTTTTACATTTACGTCATTTAGCAGACGCTCTTATCCAGAGCGACTTACAAATTGGTGCATTCAACTTATGATAGCCAGTGGGACAACCACTTTTTTTTTTCGTTTTTGTTTTTACTATACATTACATTTTCCTTGGAAAACTAGGAATAGCCAGGCCTATTTTATGTTTCTGTTTCTGTATTCTCTCATGCCTGGCCAAACAAGGTATGTATGTCATTACTGCTTTTTCCTTTATGGAACTAAATCTTATGGTCATCATTGTGGCTCTGTTGGATAGACTCACTGGCTTCAGATAGAAAGTTGGTTCCATGTTCTAGAGAAGCATTTCTGTGTTGTCAGTCCTGAGTCTAATGCTTCGCTCAAGGATATAGTTTAGCCTCCATCTCACAATCTCAAGACCCATTGGTTATGTTTACCTCCTTAGTCTGAACCCTTTCCAGTATCCTTGAATGTTGTCGTTCTGATTCCATGTCCAGCTGGTGTAGCTTATCTTGGCCTGCTCTCCCCAATAGTCACTTTGAGGATTAGCTCTGCCTCCAGTGTGAGCAGCAGTGGGCGATCAAGGTGTTTAATTACAAACCCAGCATCTTCATAACACTGTCTGGCAGGAGCTGTGTGTGTGTTTCAGAGATTGAATGAGACTAAGACTGAGGGCCTGAGACAGACAGTGTGTGTATACCATACAGAGACGGAGCGACTGAGACAGAAAAAGACAGTGTGTGTGTCTTTCGGTTGGACTGTTTGTTTACAGCTGTTGGATGGACTCACTGGCTACATACCTAATTGATTTCGATTTAATTGTCTCATGTACGGTCACTTGCAATGTCCGGAAAGAGGAAAATCAATGCAGACTGATGGTAATGTTGTGTTAAGAGCCTTTTACGCTTGGACATTACATTTGCTGAGCAAGAGTTATTCTGTTTCCTTCGCGTTGTTGGCACAGTGTGCAGCCAGTTGCAGTTCAATGTGTGTGTTTTTAATGTACGTATTTGGATTGTAGTAAGACTATTATAAAGATAAGGCTTCCGTTGCAGCACAATTTAACCTATTCCAGCCCCAACTGAACTCAAATGCCAATTGTTTTCAACACACTTGATTTAATGTAAACGCTCCCCTGGGATGCTCACTTGCCAACAGCAGAACAAAACGTTGGGCCTGTAGCTGCCAACAGCTGAATGATAGGGGGGGTCTTACTGTACAGAAAGGAACTCAATAATAATACGTCCTTTCTTTGTATTTATGCATCAAGTTCCATGTTAGAGTTGTGTTGCTCTGATGTGCTCTGGCTAATTTAATCCTATTGAAGCTTGTTCCCAGCTGTGGTCCCTTCTTGCACCCCTTGATGGCCTGAGGTGGTGGGGTGGTAGGGGAGTGCCTTAGTACACACTCACTCACCCACACAGACATACTCCCTCCCTCTCCTCGGCGCA